CACAGCACGGGGCTGTGCGCGTGTCTTCACCGACACTATCTTTCGACTTCACGGGTTACCCCGTGAACTCGTATGATAGGGACCCCCGCTTTACGGCAGAGTTCTGGCAATCCGTGTTCCGTTCACTTGGAGAACGTTTGAAGATGTCGACTTCTGACCATCTGTTTATGGATGGCCAGACGGAACGCGTCAGCCGCGTCCGCGAATAGATACTTTGAGCGCATGTTCACTAATTTACGAACGAGTGAATTATTGCTGATGGCGGAATTCTCCATCAACACCTTTATGCATGCGTCGACAACGCATATACCATTCTTCGTGAATGGCCTACGCTGTCCACGTTTACCCGCCTTCTTAGAGTGTGACTCGAGGTTTAGGGGGGGAGGACTCGCTCGAACGAAAATCGATCTGTTTCTTGATCATCACACGTCGACAATGGTTTCGACGTGATGGATGCCGACATCGATCACATCGACACCGATGAAGATGATAACGATGATGGTGTTATATTCAGCATCTCCAACGACTGCCACAGTGAGGACAATGACACCCTCACTGGTGATACAACTTTCTTTCAGTAGTGAAAAAAACGAACCGCACTGCTGATAAAAATAACGAAACAGCAGAGGAATTTCTGCTGATTCGCGAAGCGGTTGTCCGCTTCGTTCAAGACACTATTTCAGACGAAATGGATGAGCAAAAAGAAACGCAGACAAACATGGAAGAGCAAATGTTCTTTTATTTAATAGGGGAGACTTAGTTTTACTGTCTACAGTAAATCTACCTATACACGCAGTGAGAAACGTGGGTAGCATTAAATTACTGCCCATGTACATCGGTCCAATTCGTGTATTGCGCCTCATGGGCAACGCATACACGATTGAACTGCCTCGTAGGATGCGTACGCATCCTGCGTTTTACGTTGGACGTCTCCGCCCGTACAATCAGTACGAGCCCGATCGAGAGGCGAAGAACGCCTCCGCGGTCAGGGGCCGAGTCTACCTTAGAGTGGTCCCGTTTTAACGAGCCAGTCTGTTCGACTTGAGAAGCGACCTGCTCACGCAGTTGAGCGATGTCTCGACGAGCTGCAGCCAGCTCGTCACGAAGAGAATGAGTCGAACGTTCTTTCTCAAGTTGCGCGAACGCAAACGCGGCACAATCGTTCAAATTATAGTGCGCTAAGGAATTGTAACTATCCCTTGCAAGGTCACGGCGCTCGTAACGCTGAGTCTGTATATGAGCCAGGACATCTTGCAACTGTTCCGTTACACGGTTCAGTTCCTGAACATCAAGCTGATCCGGCCCTCGAGCCAGATTAGGTGTTCCCGCCCCCACCACATCCTTTGGTGAATTCTGGCGGTGATCTACGCTTATTGTGGATCGTATTTTGAACCACCGCGACGTGAATGGCGTCCGGACGAGTTACCTCGTCCGCTGGCGTGGCTATCCACCGGCCTGGGACAGCTGGGAGCCTCGTGCCCAGCTGATTGTTGATGTCCTTGGTCTCTTCGAGAAACTTGACGAGACCCTACGCTGCGTTCGAAGAAGGGCCGTCGGAAAACGACCTTCCCCGAACGCGAGTACAGGGATTGCAAAGTGTCAATCCCTTCGGAAATATCGGAAGAGATGCACGCCCTCCAGTAGGGATCATTAGGGAGGTAGGCCTCTCTAGAGGTAAGGCTCGATTTTCCAGGCAACCTGGACACGAATCACCTCACTTGAGACAGGGTAATCCTGCCTCTTCTTAAAAACCGGTGCAACTTGATCGCGCCCCGACTGGTTTGCGTTTCTCAAATCTGATGCGAGCCGCATCAAATTTGGTGAGCCAGGCATCACGGCCAATGCACTCGATGTTATGGATGAGGGCATGTTATCCTTGCACCAAGGCTATACCGTCTCAGACACGGCTATTATTGTACCACCGATGTCTGAAAAATGCATCGGTGAAGAATTCTTCCTCTGCACGGATAGTTTACGTGCTGGAATCAAGTGGGCAAATCTTCCTGCAATCGAACAACGAGATTCGATCCCGTTCGGTAGTCATTCCAGTCAACCGGTCCAACTCTTTGGAGGACATCATCCACGGAGACTCCACTTGAGGAGCGTGGCGCAGGACATTTCGGTCCCTAATCTCGTGTGTGGTGTCAGCATGAGCACTGACACCATAGCAGCCCGATATCTCAAGTTGCTTCTCTTGAGGTTATGCAAAGGGGCATTATTACCATCACCACGCGTCCTACTGTCAGATAAACTTGCGGGAGACGAGGAATCGTCAGACGGATCGCTAAGCCCGAAGATTTCGGACAAGATAGCGCCATGTTTTCGAGTATCGGTCAACTCGGCTCTGGAGGTGTCTGCTCCGAGTAAATCGGAGGCAGGTGGCGCCGCCTTCGATTCGGATGCATCATCCGACTCCCCAGAAAAGATAAGCTCTATTAAAAATGAATCTACATTGCGAGTCGCAGAACCCACTGCAGACACAGCGGATTTATCTTTCGCATGTGGTGTCTCACCACGTGGATTGCTCAAAACTGAAACCGCCCGTTGCTGAATCGCAACAGCAGGCGCGGGATCACCTGCTGCTAAAGCAAGAGAAGAACTCTCTTCGGCTGCACGCATGCGTGCAGCCGCGGAAAGTGACTCTCACATCTCAGCAGCAGATGATTCGCCGCCTTTTCTTGTGAATCGCTTACGTGGTTAGTCACCACGTGAGATAAGTACATACGCTGCATCTGCAGCGGGTAGCACGAGTCGTAATCAAGATGAGTCTGAGATAGAGCTCATCTATTCAGGTGAGCCGAATGATGCATCCGACTCGAAGGCGACACCTCACGCGTCCGGTTCACCCGGGGCGGACAATGCAAGAGCCAGGTTGACTGTCTTTGGTTAACGTGGCGGTATCATGTCCGAAATCTTCAGATCGAGCGATTATCCCGACGAATCTCCGCCTTAAGCAATTCCATCCAACGGAAAGACGCGTGGATATGGTGGTGATGCACCTATACATCACCATGAGCGAAGTAACTCGAGATATCGGGCTGCTATGGTGTCAGTGTTCATGCTGACACCACACACGAGATTAGGGACCGAAATGTCCTGCGCCACGCTCCTCAAGTGGAGTCTCCGTGGATGATGTCATCCAAAGAGTTGGACCGGTTGACTGGAATGACTACCGAACGGGATCGAATCTCGTTGTTCGATTGCAGGAAGATTTGCCCACTTGATTCCAGCACGTAAACTATCCGTGCAGAGGAAGAATTCTTCACCGATGCATTTTTCAGACATCGGTGGTACAATAATAGCCGTGTCTGAGACGGTATAGCCTTGGTGCAAGGATAACATGCCCTCATCCATAACATCGAGTGCATTGGCCGTGATGCCTGGCTCGCCAAATTTGATGCGGCTCGCATCAGGTTTGAGAAACGCAAACCAGTCGGGGCGCGATCAAGTTGCACCGGTTTTTAAGAAAGGCAGGATTACCCTGTCTCAAGTGAGGTGATTCCTGTCCAGGTTGCCTGGAAAATCGAGCCGTACCCCTAGAGAGGTCTACCTCCCTAATGATCCCTACTGGAGGGCGTGCATCTCTTCCGATATTTCCGAAGGGATTGACACTTTGCAATCCCTGTACTCGCGTTCGGGGAAGGTCGTTTTCCGACGGCCCTTCTTCGAACGCAGCGTAGGGTCTCGTCAAGTTTCTCGAAGAGACCAAGGACATCAACAATCAGCTGGGCACGAGGCTCCCAGCTGTCCCAGGCCGGTGGATAGCCACGCCAGCGGACGAGGTAACTCGTCCGGACGCCATTCACGTCGCGGTGGTTCAAAATACGATCCACAATAAGCGTAGATCACCGCCAGAATTCACCAAAGGATGTGGTGGGGGCGGGAACACCTAATCTGGCTCGAGGGCCGGATCAGCTTGATGCTCAGGAACTGAACCGTGTAACGGAACAGTTGCAAGATGTCCTGGCTCATATACAGACTCAGCGTTACGAGCGCCGTGACCTTGCAAGGGATAGTTACAATTCCTTAGCGCACTATAATTTGAACGATTGTGCCGCGTTTGCGTTCGCGCAACTTGAGAAAGAACGTTCGACTCATTCTCTTCGTGACGAGCTGGCTGCAGCTCGTCGAGACATCGCTCAACTGCGTGCGCAGGTCGCTTCTCAAGTCGAACAGACTGGCTCGTTAAAACGGGACCACTCTAAGGTAGACTCGGCCCTTGACCGCGGAGGTGTTCTTCGCCTCTCGATCGGGCTCGTACTGATTGTACGGGCGGAGACGTCCAACGTAAAACGCAGGATGCGTACGCATCCTACGAGGCAGTTCAATCGTGTATGCGTTGCCCATGAGGCGCAATACACGAATTGGACCGATGTACATGGGCAGTAATTTAATGCTACCCACGTTTCTCACTGCGTGTATAGGTAGATTTACTGTAGACAGTAAAACTAAGTCTCCCCTATTAAATAAAAGAACATTTGCTCTTCCATGTTTGTCTGCGTTTCTTTTTGCTCATCCATTTCGTCTGAAATAGTGTCTTGAACAAAGCGGACAACCGCTTCGCGAATCAGCAGAAATTCCTCTGCTGTTTCGTTATTTTTATCAGCAGTGCGGTTCGTTTTTTTCACTACTGAAAGAAAGTTGTATCACCAGTGAGGGTGTCATTGTCCTCACTGTGGCAGTCGTTGGCGATGCTGAACATACCACCATCATCGTCATCATCATCATCGGTGTCGATGTGATCGATGTCGGCATCCATCACGTCGAAACCATTGTCGACGTGTGATGATCAAGAAACAGATCGATTTTCGTTCGAGCGAGTCCTCCCCCCCCTAAACCTCGAGTCACACTCTAAGAAGGCGGGTAAACGTGGACAGCGTAGGCCATTCACGAAGAATGGTATATGCGTTGTCGACGCATGAATAAAGGTGTTGATGGAGAATTCCGCCATCAGCAATAATTCACTCGTTCGTAAATTAGTGAACATGCGCTCAAAGTATCTATTCGCGGACGCGGCTGACGCGTTCCGTCTGGCCATCCATAAACAGATGGTCAGAAGTCGACATCTTCAAACGTTCTCCAAGTGAACGGAACACGGATTGCCAGAACTCTGCCGTAAAGCGGGGGTCCCTATCATACGAGTTCACGGGGTAACCCGTGAAGTCGAAAGATAGTGTCGGTGAAGACACGCGCACAGCCCCGTGCTGTGATTGACTCAGGTACAGCATGAAGATGTACTATCTTGCTGAACCGATCAACAATCACAAGAATACCAGTATTCTTGTGAGCGTCATTGGGAAACCCGAAGACGAAGTCCATTGATGCGGACTGCCAACACTCTGCCGGAATCGAAAGAGGCTTCAAGGGTGCGCGGGATAAAGAACTAGGCTTCACTCGTTGACAAACGTCGCAAGCGCGAATGTATTTGCGCTCAAATCATACTGGCGGGGCCAGTAAAAGTCATGACTCACTGTGGTCGCCCAGATTTCACAGCCGTGAGGTGGGTCTTTTCCCTACCGCGATGCCCACTTGTTGTGGCATCGTGACACTTATACATGATGCGCAATCGCAAATCATTATGTGCCGGAACGACGACACGAGGTGTGTCGCCGTTGACCGCTGTATAGTACAGCAGTCCATCACGAACAGAATACCGTTCGGTTGAAGAGCGGTATTGAGACGACAAGCTTTTCAAAGCTTGACTGCATGGATTGGACACGTAGTCCATTAGTCGCAGAAGGTACTCATCTTCTGCGTATGCTCTTTGCACGTCGTCAAGCATATTCGATGACAGAACATTTAATGATAGTATTGCTACAGTTGGGATCACCCCTACTGATCGGGTTGAGCAAGTCCCTCGAGATCGGGCCGACGCGAAAGAGCATCAGCGACGACATTAAGTCGCCCTGATTTACATTCGACAGAGAAGCTGTACTCCGCAAACAAAAAGCAGCCACCTCGCCATTCGTTGCGAGAGGTGTGGACTGTTTACGGCCGTGCGTAACGACGCATGGTCGGTATACACGATGAAGGAATTATCTCCTGAGAGATATACCCGAAAATTAGCAAGTGCGTACTTCATGGCAAGGATCTCCTTGTCATGCACTGGGTATTCAAGCTCAGCTGCTTGCAGATGACACGATTGATTACAGACGACGCACTCAACGTCATCTACATCGTGCTGCATTAACGCGCAGCCGATTTTAAAATTGCTGGCGTCACAGAGCACATGAAATGGTCTTTCCTGGTTTGCAATCGCCAACACAGGCGATTGTACAAAGCTTTTTTTTGTACCTTCAAAAAAGTGCTGACACACAGCGCTCCATGACCACCACTCGTTTTTCTTTAACAGACGAGAGAGATGTACGGTCATCTCGGCATAGCTGCGCGAGTACTTTTGCACGTACGCCGCTAAGCCAAGGAGCTTTCGAAGCTTCTTGACATCGCCTGTCACAGGCCAGTCGCTAACCGCCTTTATCTTTTCCGGATCAAGGCGTACGCAGTGTTTACCTACGATACAACCAAGAAGTGGCATTTCGTTCGCTGCGAATATACGCTTCTTGAGGTTCGCGAACAACTAATGCTCTCGCATCAGAGTAAGAACCTTCCGGACGTGGATTTGATGAACCCCCACGTCCGTCTTTCCATCCATAGCCCGGCTATGGACGAAGACATCGTCAAAGTAACTCGGTGCAAAATCACTCACCGATCGCAACAGATTCGTAACACATCTGTTGAACGCTGCAGGGGAGTTACTTAGCCCCTGCGGCATCACTAGCCACTCCCAGAGCGTACCACCGGGGGGTGGTCGCTGCTGTGTACGGGATGTCCCGTTCTCGCACGAGGATATCATAAATCCATTAATCAGATCCATGGACGAAAATATGGTACGTTTTTTGCCATACCATCAATGATGACGTCCTTCCTCGGTATCGGTGCCTAAGCCGGTACCGTTTCAGCATTTAGCTTGTTCAATGCGTGCACTCTCCTCCACCCCTTTTTTTGGTCTTTTGCATACAGAAGGTCGCATAGCTGTGAGGTTAAGCTAATTTTTTCATACGGCCCATTGAAATCGTTAGGAAAAGAATTTTTCGATCGCTGTGACATATTCACAAGGCTGTGGCAATTGCTTCATGAAACAGTATTTTGAATCCGGTTTCAGTTCGATCTCGTTTCGAGTGTCTTTATCCTTAGGCAACTCACGTGGCACGGATTCCGGGAAAATATCCCTGAATTCAACCAAATCCTTATACAAAGGATTTGTATTCGAAGACTCCCAAGATTGAGACGTGTATCGCTCAATCCGAGTCTTCTCATCGAGGACACTCTCGTCCATCGATGAGCTGCTGAGAACACGTTCGTTCTCAGTAAACACTTGTGCCGACCGAATGTGACCGAATGTCGGCGACGTACTCGTCCTCTGTGACGAGTACGCAGATCTGCTTGATCTTGTCACTACGCAAATCTCGCAAGAATCTTTTCGATTCTAGCGCTGGCAACCTGATTACCTCCAAAGCTGACTTCGGAGATGTAACCAGATCAGGTGTATAAGCGCCTACACTTGATCCGTCATTCACCAAGCCATTCACTGTCTCGGTGATTTCCTGGGAAAACACATCCACAGGTGGTTGGGGATCCACACCCTCAACATAAATCTTTCGATGGTTATCACTCTCAGGAAAGCTGGAACTTTCTTCCATTACGTGTACTGACTGTGAGTGTACTACCACGGTCACGTCCTCTTCGATTGACTCTTTTTCAGTCGATCGAGCTTGATCTACTATAGGCTCTTTGATAGTCGATCTTTCTTTAACGTGTTGTTCATCCTGAACAGCACTAATCTCTCTTCTCGGATGCACCCTTATCGGTGTGCATCCGTGTTCCAGTCCACTCGATCTCTTCGAGTGGTGAACCTTCGGCGCAGCCTGCGTTTCTACGCAGGTGCCGGAAGATGGTTCCACAGTTTATTGGCCTTCTACACTGTGATCTTGTGCAATCGTACTAACGACCGTACCACAAGCGAGGCCATCGCACTCACTCGTAGTACATCCACACGCTTGTGTACGCTCCAAGAAGTTCATCAGATGGCCATTCGATGAACAAACGGTAGGCTTCTTCGCGGATCGATGCTGCCAGCTAACCCATGGCTGGTATTTTCTAAGTCATGGCAGACCTAGGATGACATCAAATTTGTCATCCAAATCTGCTACGATATAGTCATCATCGTACTGCTTTCCTTCTAGCGTGTAGTGGATTCCCACTACACGTTTGTTCACTGTTACGGATGCGCCTGTAGCAAGGCACACCGTCATCCTCGTTGGAGGGAACTCTCACTCAACATTGTTGAGCCTACTATCCCCTTGCGACTGGCATCGAATGAAACTGTTTGAAGCCTCACAGTCAACTAGGGCGCGAAGTGACATTCCACTTGTCACGTCGATCTTCAAAGTGATGAGAGAATCCTCATCATTAAGGGCGGTAACACACAGCGACTGTGTGTTGAGAGCAATCTTCGTCAAGATTCCTGCAGATTCTCTTGACGTTGCTGGATCAGCATGGTGCTCCGCCCCTACTGACCCTGTCCGTTTTTTTGACGGTCCGGCTTGCTGTCGCGGCTTGGCGACATGGTCGGACCCACGTCTTGGACCTTTCCTTGGCCAACGGCGGTATCACGTCCTGTCTTTGGACGTGATGCGATGCTTGGAAGACTACACTCATGGGCGTAATGTCCAATCTTCTGACAGCGATGACATCTTGCCGTTCTCTTGTGACTCAGAGAGCGAGAGTTCTCGCTCTCGATGCAACAGAGGTCCATCGCCTCGGAGCCTCTGGTTTCCTATCGTCTAGTCGGATGATAGTTGGACGAGCTAGCCTGAGACTGTCTCAGGCTGAAGTCTTCTTGTTCCGCATACGCTATCGCCTTTTTTAGCGTAGGGAAGTCCTCTTGGACACGTAGTTCAACACCGGCCCATCTACAGATGAATACGTAGGTAAGCGTGTGCTCATCAACAGGGCTCTCAGTGGCGCTACTCGCAGGTAGCGTAGATGTTGTGCGTAAGCCTGCACATCCCGCTTACCTTGTTTGAGCCTCAGGATGTGCAGAGAGTGCTCTGCACTCGGCTCGTGGAGGCTCACACGATTTTTTGAGTCGAGACTTCAAGATCTCCAACGAATTAAACACGTTAATCATGAAGCTTGAGCCCTAAAGCCCAAGTATTTGCTCGTCCTGTCCAATTTGACAGGGTGAAAGTGATTTGCATCTCGTCACCCTCGATGTGACGGGCTCTGATGGCGTCGTCTAACTCGACGAACCATCTCAAAAGGGAACCCTCATTGGTTCCCTTGTACCTTGACATATCAATCTTTAAGGTTTCGGGTCGAAGCTTGTGCGTCGGCCCGCCCATCGACTGATGAGAGCCTTGCTGTTGTAGCAAGGCTATCTTCTGTCTTTCGATGCCAAGTTCCCCTTGTAGGAATTTGTTGATAGCAGCATGTTGCTGGTCTCTGCTTAGAGACTACAGCATACCACTGATGGCGGGTTCGCCCATGAGCACACTCATGCGGCCGACTACCTCCCATTATGAGTCACTCAGATAGGAGTAGCCTTCACGTGTGACGTGAAAGCTGTCGTCTTCTACGTCCAACATGTTCACGTTGGACGGACACTAAGTAGTCGTTTGACGGACTACGAAGTGCTATCAGGTGTAACGGGGCACCATTAGTTTGGGGTGCCACGAAAGTTTACGTACACGAGTACGTGCAGAGGAAGCTAATCTACTTGAACGACTCGGTCAAGTAAAGGTGAAAGAGAAATGTATTTGATAAAGTTAAGCTATCAATATAACTTAAATCTTTATCTAGCTATATTAACTACGCCGTCGTATGACGTCTAGCTGCGATTGGTGGCAATCTATGGTTGACATGTCTTATGTCAACCAATCTTGGAGCAGCGCATGAATATATTCCTATAAAGGGGATAATATTCCTTCAATATTATCCATCCTGGATAAAATTGGTAGAATATTGTCATGTTAGACAATATTCCTACTGACACCGTTTGGTGTCAATTTCATTTAACAGGCTACCCCGTTACAATTATAGTTGAAAAAGGACCAGATAAAATTTCTGTTATTTGGGCCACGTTGACGCGAGTTTACTTGTACGTGATTTCTTTTATTTCTTCGGATTTTTTTCGATTGATCAGGATAGTATATGTATTCTCGTGATAAAATGTAGCTTTTCTACTTAATTTTTTGAAAATGACATTGTACACATAAAAATATACTGGCCCTTTCGTTTTACGTTTTTTAATTATATAAGTTAAATGAGGCTGGAGCATCAAAAGAATATGGACGTTATGTGTAGTAAGATAATTGAAGACTGCGGGATGCGCGGAAATTCGCGGGACGCGCAGGATGCTTCGACTCATCCCGCGTCCCATCCCGCGCAAAATGAGATCCGGGATCCGAGGGATGGGACGCTGCGGGATGGGGCCCTAATCGATGGTCTAACCTCGAAATTTGCTAAGATCATTCATTGTAACAACAAGGTGAAAGGCTCTTTATCCCTACCGTGAGCTCTCTTGCGTGCTTTTCTGTCAAACAATCATGCTCGCTCTTGGAATTGAACAATCCCTGCGTGGGTGTGGCTTCGGTCTTCGAGTCCGAATAGATTCTGAGTGTAGTGAGCTTCAGTACTGTCTCAGCAACAGCTGCGGTCCTAACGCTTGCCCCAGTAACGGCTGTGCAGTCGGTGGCTGTGCACTAGTCATGCAGTTACAACACCGAACGACATCAAACGAAGCCATTCCGGTAGTAACGAGTCCAAGACAGTGCGAGCTTAAGTGAAAAAGCTTCCGATCTCCTGGTCGTGCTTCTTTTTAACTAGTGGAAGTAGTTCGAGTCGTGCTTCCGCTCAATGCACTGATTTTACTACTAGACTCTGCTCGGATATTTTGACGTGCTTGCGATCCCTTTACGTGGCGACGATCCGGACTATTCAGATTGATGCATCACGGACCCGCTCGAAATAGTAGACAAGCTCTCCCCTTCCTCGCTTACGATCCCCTAAACCGTGCTTGAGCATTGGCTTGATGATGGGGATAGCTGCGCGATCAAAACTGTCGACATGCAGCGCACTTCAACCGGGCAAGACCACAGGTTCCAACCGCTACGTCCATTGTGTAGTCACGTCGGAGCGCCCATAATATGATAAATAGCCGTTTGTGCCAACTGATCGCCCATTGCTTCAGTTTACGCTTCAACAGTAATTGGCTCGTTTTTGGCTGGTAATGCTGTTCGACGCCGCTACCAAAGGCCATAGACATGTCTGACGGACGATTTGCTCGACAGGACACTTTGTCTTTGAGAAATTTCTGCCCTCAGCTTCAAGGCTATTCACAACCCACTCCTGACCATAAACAGGAGCAACTGACTCGAGGTGAGGGCCTGTAAATGAAGACGAGTAGACGACGATACCCAATGACTTGGATAGCACGTAAACTCTGTATCTCCTCACCCAAACACCGTCGCTAGTTGTCCTGGACGCTTCCTCCGTTCTTCATTCTCCATTTTGCCTCGTACCCGAATAGTAAACTTGAATAGTTCATTGTGTAGCATGATGAATATCTTTCGCGTTGCGGCGCTAGTCATGACTTTGCTGAAAATCACCACTGGCGCTACCCACGTCCAACCACTTCCAGGTGCATGCTCAGGAGTTTGTGTCAACACGCACGACCCAAGCATCATCCGTCGTGACGACGGCACCTACTTTCGCTTTTCAACGGGTGGTGGAATTGCTGTCCACACGGCTCCAGACCTCGTTGGACCATGGGAGTACAAGGGTTCAGTCCTACCGCAAGGGCCGAATATCAAGCTCTTGGACGAAAAGATGAAGCCCTGGGAAAAAAAATGGACGTCTGGGCGCCAGATGTGCACCGCGTGGGCAACAAGTTCTACTTGTACTACGCAGCTGTACGAGACGCTCCGTTAGAACGTCAGAATCTTGCGGCGATTGGTGTTGCCACGTCATCTACGATGGATATTGGCTCGTGGAAGGACTTGGGCGGTATCGGCATACAGAGCAATGGCAAAAGCCAGTACAACGCCATCGATCCAAACCTCTTTGAAGAGAAGGGGAACATGTACATGGTCTCCGGGAGCTACAGAATGGGATTGGTGCAAGCGTCGATGAAGAACCCACCGACGGCAGTAATTCCTGACACGGACATCAAGCTCGCGTACCAGCCTAAGAACCATGCAATCGAAGGCGCCACCATGTTCAAGTATGGACGTTTCAACTACCTCTTCTTCTCGCAAGGCGACTGCTGTAAGTATGATAAGAAGAAACTTGCAGAAGGGGACGAGTACAAGATCAAGGTGTGCCGCTCTAAACCTAGTATTGTGGACTTCCGCGACAAGAACGGCACATCCTGCATGGATGGAGGAGGCACGGTCTTGTTCAAGTCGGAAGGCGATGTCTACGGACCTGGAGGCCAGGGCGTGTACGACGACGAAAAGCACGGACCTGTTCTTTACTACCACTACGTGAACAAGGCTATTGGCTATGAGGACGGTCAAAAGCAGTTTGGCTGGAACAAGCTCGATTTCTCGAGTGGCTGGCCTGTTGTGAAGTCGTCGTGAGCTTGAGAGACTTGCACATTGGACGAGTCAGTGGGCTTAGCGAGCTTATAGAAACAGAAAGAAGTAAGCATGAATCGCAGCACAAACGACCGTGGCCATACAATTCCTTTCCGTCCGCAACAGCTCATTGTATAATTGTCAAGCGCTTATCTGTAGGGAAGTACGCGCTCGAAAACGTAGCCTTCGTGTACCTTGCGACGTCTTCGGAAGCAGCCACACTAGAACGAGTCGGAGCAGGTATGTATACGCTGCACGGCTGCGACGTATGCTTGGCTTATGTGGGTCTTAGCAAGCTGCTGTCATCGAATGCGTCACACTCTTACTTTGTCTCTGTTTTGGAGATGGCAATGCAGCAATTAATGGCTGTATCACCTTGGTGACGTAGAAATAGTCATCACGTTGGTGCGGTACAAGTTTCCGCATACTGACGATCTTGAAATCACCGTGACACCGAAATGTCAGTCAATACGTAACAGTTATCAACTCGGAAGTGCTCGAATCAAAAGCTATGAAGCATCGCCTCCAACTTTAGAAACACCTAGCGCACTACCTTTTCGCCCAGCAGTTGTGTATTAGCCACCGACATCGCTTTCGGTCCGTGAAGTTGCTACACTGTACAATCCCATCGCTCCGTTTGCGGTGCTGCTTCCAGCATCGGCAAACAAGGACAGCATTTTTAAAAGACAAGTCACAAGTCCATGAGCGCTAGCTCCGTAAAGAATAGTGTGGCATCGATCGTTGTGCCCAGAACGACTTTTCAAGGAGTAAGGTATTGGATTCTTTTACAAAGAAGCAGCGCGTAGCGGAGAAATGAACAGCAGTCAGCACCAGGAGCTTATACTGGTCCAGGTTGCATAGTAGTAAGTCTTCTGGCAACCTAATACTGCTTTTAGGCTCTGGTCTTAACGAGGACGGACACTACTGCATACACATGCCACCCGTACTTCTGATGACGACGTAATGCACAGTGATAAATCCAATTGTTTTTTGTACATGGTTTCTATCTTACAGCATTTTATTTTACTTTCCGTTCTTATTTGGTATATTCTCCCCTTGAATAACGATAAACTTACATGATGTGAGTTTCCTTGATAGAAATTTTGGTCTGTCCAGGTGGCGTTATAGCACATGAGCAACATTAATTTCGAAGTGGAACGGGTGACTGAGCTACCTCACAAATAGAGTGAATATTTACTCAGCTATAGCTCAAGCATTAGGGTACGATATATCTGAATCATGGATTCAGTCATGCATATTTGAGATTGCAGCCTACTGACGACAGGACATCGTATTACTACGAATGTGGACTACGCGAACCAGTGCACAGCCGTACTGCCCACCATACTAGCTAAAATCGTGCAGTAGAGCCGAAGTAGTTTGTATAGAGTTCATTCTTGTGCATACGATGCATGTTCGAGCCGAGAGGAGGGGGGGTCGCTTATGGACGTTTAGTACGTCCAGCGGTATCAGCGACAGAAGACCACGAGAGATGTGTTCACATTAACGTGATTACTAAATAGCGGCATCCAACCGATGGTTGACACCTTCGTAGCGGCTTGGACACATCTGTTCTAAGCAATTGTACGCAGAGTCAGCATGTAGCTGTGGTATGCAGGTTCATTGGGTTTTCCATGAGCTAGAGCAGCAGCATGGCACTGGATGGCAGGGCGCTTGTTTGGGTTGAGGGGATTTTCAATTACTAGGTGGAAGACATGTTACGGTTGCACCCGAGAAGTTTCTGCTCAGACATATTAAGTAAGTGGCCTAAACATGTCCGATACTTGCCTCAGATCGTTCACAGGGGCGGGTTATGACTGTCGTGAAGTCTATACCGATGACTAATAACTTTTCATGCATTTCACTACACTTGTGTCAAATTCATCATCAGGGGGACCATTGTAAGTTTTGTGAAGAATAAAGCACACAAACTCATGCACGGAGCACGCCAAGGTCATGGAAAGCGACATGGCAATGGCCGTGTTCTGCAGTCACAAACAAGATGTCGATATACCTTCGCAAAGAACTTCAAGCTACATTTCGATTCACCCTTCCAGCTATAACCTCGCTCAAAACCTAGCTCGTTAAATTCGTCGTTCTCGCGAAAAATTCATCCACCATGACTGCACCAGCACTGCAGCTTTAACTGCATGATTATAGGAGGGACGTGTAGTGGCGACGAGCTCGGCGCTCGGACCACGAACGAGCAGCCACCACGTTCACAGCGACGACTACCACACCAACGAGCGCGTAAAAGACGCTGTGCGCGTCAGTCGAAATCGCATCAGTCAAAGTGGCATCAGTCTGCTGCACTTTCGACAACGACATGCTCATCAGGTCAGCCCACTCAGACGTCTCGCTGGACAAGGATGTACAGTTGGGCTCGTCTGACAGCAATGACTTCATCGTCTTGATAGAATAGTAAACCGGAGTCTTCGCCGGTACGGCCAGAGGCTCAAACATTGCAACCTTGTTCACGGCCGCTGAATACACGATAGAACTCGTCTCGCGCCAAAACCACCAGCCTTTGACCTTGACTTCCGCCGGTGGCGCGTTCACATAGCCCACCTTGCCCCACACCGAAGTCAGCACCGTAAGCTTGTCGGTGACTTGCACGAGCATCTCTCCGTTACCCCACACATCCACGTTCGACTCGGCCGCCACAATTGACCCAGCAAGCAGCTGTCCGGATCCAGACAGAGTCAGGGACTCCTTCTCGACAGAACCCGTCGTGGCAAAACTGGCAATACCTGAGCCATAGACTGAAGCGTGCAGCTTCCGAGCCTCAAGGTAGCCCGTGTCTACCACAATGTCACCGGAGCCAGAAAGCGTACATTTGACCTCGTGCGCCGACAAGTCGTCCGTAATCAACGCGACAACGCCAGTGCCTGCGACTTCCACGTCCAGTTTCCTGTCGAGATTCACCGAGGGGATCTCTAGCTGCACCAAACCATTGCCCATCACTTCCACATCCAGTGAACTCAGCGTTGCGTTCGATAGAGACTTCAGGAACAACCTACCGTCACCCACGCACGCAAGTTTCACGTCCGCCTCAGCATCGTCGAGCATCACTACACTGTCGTCCAGTACCACATCACCCGAAGAGGCTGTAGTCACTTGGTGAAGCACGTTTTTCTCGAACAGGTAGATCTGCGTCAACACGAATCCCTCAACTAGCGCGTCTTCGTTCTTCAGCTGAATTTTAAGTCCGTCATTGCGACCCGGGTGCAGTGGCACGATCTCAATGCTGTTCAATAGGTCACTCGAATTGCCAGAGACAACAATCTTGGCCACAAACGTCTCCTCACCCTGCAAGTCGTCGTTGACATCGTCCTCGAAGTAGTGGTGATGGTAACGGTGGTGCTTGTGCAACATCATGGGTGAAACCCCAATTGCCCTGCGCAACGAGCTGATTTCGTTCGAGTCAGGTTCTGACTCCTCCACGTGCGAAACAGCAGGCGATGATCCCGGAATGAATCCAGGTTGGACACCAGGCACAAAACCAGGCACGACACCCGGGGTCACACCAGAGACGACTCCCGGCACCTCAGAAGCCTTGGTAGACGTTGTGTCAGCGGACAGCGATTCTACAGGGATAGATCCTGGGATGAATCCAGGTTGAACGCCAGGCACGGTACCAGGTACGACACCCGGAGTGACACCAGAGACGACACCCGGCACCTCAGAAGCCTTGGTAGACGTTGTGTCAGCGGACAGCGATTCTACAGGGATAGATCCTGGGATGAATCCAGGTTGAACGCCAGGCACGGTACCAGGTACGACGCCCGGAGTGACACCAGAGACGACACCCGGCACCTCAGCAGCCTTGGAAGCTTGGGCATTTGTAGACGGCGATCCAGCAGGTGCAGATCCTGGGATGAATCCAGGTTGGACGCCAGGCACGGTACCAGGTACAACGCCCGGAGTGACACTAGAGACGACCCCTGGCACCTCACCAGCCTTGGAAGCTTGGGCATTTGTAGATGGCGATCCAGCAGGTGCAGATCCTGGGATGAATCCAGGTTGGACGCCTGGCACGAAACCAGGTACAACGCCCGGAGTAACCCCAGCGACACCCTGGCACCTCACCCCTTAATTTTTGTAGTGATCCGCATCCTGGGATGAATCCGGTACTCACAAACCAGGTACAACGCCCGGAGTAACCCCAGCCACAACGCCTGGCACCGAAGATGACCGAGTAGCGGGAGTGTCGGTTTTGGGCAATAGTGAAGGATCGAGCTCTACAAAAACACGACCAGGTAGTGCCACATACAACTGCTGAAGCTGTGCAGAGCTCGAGATGGTCCAGGAGCGATACAAAGGCTGGTGACCGTCCACATTGTCACCGGACGAGGTCACGTTCGATACGTTAACTGTCCATGCGTCTGCAGTGCCAAGAGCCAGCGCAATCGCAGCGATGTTGGCCGAGAAGTGCATGCGGCCGAGCAAGAATTAATGACGTGGAGGTGGGGACGTTTTGTGGCAAACTCGAAAGTGAGAGGCTGCGAAGAATCCTGAGTTTTTTTTCAGTTCAGTCCTACCTCGGGGGTGACGTACAAGAGGACGGGGGCTTAAGTACGCTTGAACCTGTGAGATGTGATACACTTGCAGGAACGAAAGATCCCATCTAAATATTCATCTCACCCCAACTTGTACATAGCTCGTAAAGGGGGAAGACTGCGTGCCTGTGTCAGCCGGAATCAGATGCGGCAACTTTTTTGGAAGGCGGGCATCTGTTTCACGTCCGTCGGGTCTGCTCACGGACAATGCTGTGAGTGCTAAGTGCAGGAAGGTAGCAACTGCACGGGCAAAAAAGGTTCGATGACCGCCAGGCGACATAAAGTCGAGCTCGCTAGCAATATTCGCTCTGTTCTCGGCACGCTGATACCTGCCGAGCAAATAAAGGGGCCCGCTGCTCTCATTAGAAGATAAAGTCTTGGCAGATCTGTACATCGTAGAACGATAGAATAGTGAAGATGTTACTCTGCTTATTCGGAATGAAGCAGATGGAAGCTGGCCCTTGTATTAAACCAACGAATTGGCTTCACGAAAACTTTTTATGACACACGTGCACGTACAGCGAGTATTATAAAGGTCCATGTGGAGTCACATCCAGAGACCGGGGATTGCGTCTTTGCGACACATCGAAACGTCACTTTCGCATGCGCAAACTCGAGCTCCAAATTGATCAAAGAAGCAGCACTACATTTATTTCGGCGAGAAAAGAAGTCATCCTCACGATGTCGGTACTGAACATAATTCTCGCAAGTAGACGGATGGCTGGCCAGTGGCTCTGCCTCGACAATCACACAATAATATCTGCTCGCGGCGTGCAGCGAACTCCTCGTCGGTGCTTCGCAAAGAAGCAATCACAAACGCGCCTGACGTAATTTGATGGCACAGTCATTGCCGGTACGTCGTCTTGTAGGAGCTAAAGCCAAGCAATTTAGCACAGATGTCCAAGCAATGGATGCAACACCATAAGTAGAACCGAAGGCGAAGTTCTGCAATGGCTCTTATCTTCGAATACACAGAGAAGTCGTAGCTTGATACGAAGCAACGCCCTGTAGCCTCAACAGCCGATGCCGCTTTTACCGCGACAGCTTGACGGTGATAGTACTATGATGAAGCTCACCACATCAATGCTGCTCACTCTTCGTACATCTGTGGTCGTCAATAAAGAAGACGAGGAGAATGCAAGCACGCAGCCCTAGCTTAATTGCAACTTTAGCGACCTCAGTGCTGTGCTTTCTTACAGCACGCTTCACAGTGAGCTCACTCTTCACAATCTCACTCGATCATCATACCACGTCGGATGATGCCACAGATTTAAACAGTCATACTTTATGACTGAGGTCGTGCAGCCCCCTCGACCCATACCGGCGCAAAGCCCAAGCGTCGGGGGAGGGATGGGTCAATGTAGCACAACGCGAGGAGCAAAACGGCGATCCGTTATTGGCCATCCGCCGTGCTAGTGACGCCCTCACTGAACACTCCCCCTTGTCTTCTTAGTCTGCCGCTGTCTCTGTCAAGCCGCAGAGAACGGGCATTCTTCCACCCCAAACGAAATGCACGACGAGTTCGTCATCGTCCTAATCTTTGCCAGTCGATTGTTTTGACAGCACGAAACAAATGGCAGGCCATTCGTTCTTGCAATCGTGTCGCATCCGTTTTTAGTTAGAGAACGAAACCACAAGTGGACCAATTATGCAAACCTAATGGCACGTCAGAGGGGTTCCCACCTGAGAAGCGAAAACGAGGGAAACGGCAGACAGGAGACGGACTATCGATCGATCGATCAATAGACAAGAGAGGAAAAAAGACGCACTGCTCTCGGAGACCGCTGTGACAAAAAAGGGGAGACTGTCGAGCAGCACGAACGTGCATAAGGCAAATCGCACCCCCGCACGCAGTCCGTCGCGCCCTCTCGCTTTGTGTACACGATATCCAGTAGGTTGTATAGCCCTAGTACCTACCTACCTTGTAAAAATACACGTGCCCAACCGCCTCCCTCACTATGGCAATGGACACCATGGTGGACAACCAACCCGAACCAGCGCCGCCTTTAGGGGACGCGGCGACCGCTGTCGATAACTTTGGTGATCTCCTCGCACAACTGCTGCAGTCACTGCCAGCAGAATCGTCGCGGCTCTTCCTGTTGGCCCTCAGTGGCCTCTCTCCAAGCGAGAGCGCTGAACTTTGTCGCTACGTCGACCGTCTCCGTGACGAGAAGCAGTTTCGCGTGGTCAAAGCGATGGCCGAGTCGACGTTTGAAGGCAAAAAGAAATTCATCATGAATCTGCGGAAAAAGTTTCAGGTCCAACAGGCAAAACTGGCGGAAGTGCAGGCGCAGGAGGAACGGGCGATGGAATCGCATAATATGCGCAAACAGGCAATAAATGGTGGGTCTCTTGGTGCGTTTTAGCTGATGGCGACGTGCTTTTGTGTGTGGGTGGAAGCACTTTTGCCCTCTCCTTATTCTGTTGTTTGGTATCCGATGTAACAATTTGTTGCATTCTTTTTTGAAGCTGCTGGTCGGGTCAAAATCATGAACAGTGGTGCTAACAAATTCCACTCATTTAACGCGGTCGTGGGTCCTGACGGGTACGGGAAATGGATCAGTTGTTTGATCTACTATTTTTTAATGCCACCTTCAAGGTATTTTCATACTGACGGGAGCATTATGTGTGTATCCGTGCTGTATGTGTGATATCGTGCAACCCGCCACTTACAGCAAGGAAATCTACGTCAACAAACTTACAGCGCAGAATCTGGCTGGTATGCCGAATGCAGACGGTGTTGTCGTGGGTCGGTCACTGTCTTCGTCGTCCGTGGGGATCTCGAAAGAGGATATTTCGCAGATGGGGCGATTGCTGAGCAACTCACACATTAACGAATCGGAGATGAATCTGCGCGAGCTTGAAATCAATAAGAAGGGCTTCATGTTTGGTGGCAACACTACATCAAGTTCCACACACGACGATGATGACGGGTCAGCAGTCAAGCGCGACCGTCCACAGAGTAGTCGACTGCTCGTAGAAGGCGAGCAGAAGCCTACGCAACGTACGCGCTCTGACACTGGCTCATCAGTACCAGCTGGAGATAATGAGAACAGCGAAAGTTGTACCAGCAACGCTGAAGGCGTGGAGGATCCGGATGCTCCAACAACCAAGCGCTGGACTAAGGGCCAAGACACTGCTCTTCGGGAAAGTGTGCGTATCCACGGCGAAAAGAACTGGAAGGCTATTGCCGAGCTCGTACCAGGTCGAAATCACGCTCAATGTTTGCAACGTTGGCGCAAGGTTCTGAAGCCAGGCCTTGTGAAGGGTCATTGGTCGTTCGAAGAGGATCAGGTACTAGAGTATCTCGTGACGCAGGGTTGCAACAATTGGGGCCAGATTGCAGAGCGAATCCCAGGGCGTACACCGAAGCAGTGCCGTGAACGATGGAAAAACCACTTGGACCCTGCGATCAATAAGGGCCCTTACACTGAAGAAGAAGATTCGGTGATCCTTACTGCACAGGCGAGGCTTGGGAATAAATGGTCGCAAATTGCGCAGCTTTTGAAGGGTCGTACGGAAGACTCGGTAAAAATCCGCTGGAAGTCGCTCAAGCAGAATCCCAGTAAGGCTGCAGCTTCGCACGCGCAACACAAGAAGAACCAGCAGCAGGCACAAGCTGCTGCCGCACAACAAGCGGCAATGGGCTACAATAACTCGGCGTTGATGCGTCAGCGACAGTTGCAATTGTTGCAACAGCAGCAACATATGCAGGCACACAATGCTGAAGCTGTGCAGCAGCTCGATCAACAGCAGCAGATGCAGCAAATGCGTCTTCACGAAAAGCTCATGCAGCAACAGCTACAGCAGGGTCAGCACGTCAGCCACGTTGCCATGCTCACGGAGGACCTGAAGGCCGAGCCGTACCAGCAGAACCGCGGTATGCTCATGAGTCACTCGCCTGGTGGTGATCCGAGTCTGTTCGCTGCTGGCTCGTATGCTCAACAGCCGTATGCCCCTCAGCAGCAATACGAGAGTCAAGATTATGTCGCCAACAATAGCTACGATCCGCGGTATTACGAACGGCAGACATCTACTGGAGCGGTTAGTCAAGGCACGTCTCCAGCGCATCAGATGGACCACCAGCAGCAGAATGCCGGTGAGACCTGGCTTGTACCTGGAGCCGCCGGTACGAACGGGGACATGATTCAAGACGGGATGCCTCGAATGGTGGACAGCCAACAGCAAGCTCAGCAGGCCCAGCAGCCTGGCGCCAATAGTGCGAGCATGTGGGATTCGTATCCACGTCAACAAGATACGTCACAGCTGAGTCCGCTGGGTCTGCAGGTGAGTGAATTTATTTTTTAAGTGGCCGCCGTGCTGCTGGGGCTGCAGCAAGCAAGGCATGAGGACTGTCCTTGATACAGTCTCGTTTCGTCGGTAGCGGATGCGATGAGCTTGAATGATGTGCTGACTGTCTTCGGCTTCTCGCGTGCTATATAGGCACTGTTGCAAGATCCTGCGCGTGGTGGTGCATTGGACCCAAGCTTTTACCAGTCGATGGGGCAACAGGAGCAAGAGCAGCAGCAGTCTCCATTCCCATACGAAAGCGGTTTGTCGAGTTTTGACAGCTCCTCAACGATGGCGTTTTCACACACGCAGGCGCTGTAACGTAAAAGCACAGGGCGTTGGCAGATTTTATCACTAGTTCAGTAGTCAGCAAGTCTCAATTAACGAGTCATGTCATTGGATTTTTTTAGACTCAAAAGCCGCATCAAATCTATTCATGTCAAAAGTACAGGGTGTCATCAGCTGTGAAGTATCAAGTAGTAGGAACAAACGACATTCTCCGATCAGGAATAAACCGGACTCCCTGTCCAATACGATAAAGCACTAGCTCTTCGTCTGAGAGGGTATGCCCTTTCCTCGTGCTTCCTGCTTCAGTTTCTACCACGAAGAAAAGCCAGCCACGTTTTCTCGTCCTTCGTAGCATTCTCGCTGCTGCTCTTCATGGCAGACGCGGACTTGTTCGGGGACTTGCCACTCGACTGTGTCTTTCTCGAGGGCAGGGAGACAGAAGCAGTAGCAGCAGCAGCAGCTGGTCATGCTCATGCACTGGGTGCCAATGGCTCGAGCCATAGCGCAATGGCAGCAGCTGCAGCTTCCATGGACGTGTTCGTCCCCGACGACCAGATGTTACTCGACAGTGACGTGCCCGGCTCATCGCCCACGAACATGATGACGCCCAAGACGGAGAACGAGGACTTTTTGACGCCACTTTCCTTCTCCTTCATCCCGAACGGAGTGGCGGCCGTAGGGGGTCCCACCTACCGCGTAGCTCCCCAGCACAAACACAAGCGCGTGCGCTCGAATCCAGACGTGCTGCAGGGGTTCGGTATGGCTACAACGGCGCATCTGGATATGACGTCTCCCGCATCAATGAGGCATGAAGGGCTGGGCTTTCTGCAGCCACAACGCAACGAGGGGCCACTTGGACTTGTGCCGATGAGACCCTCGGTGCCTCCCGTTGATTTTGCAAGACGCTCAGCAGCAGCAACAGCAGCAGCTCACGGAGAGTCGTTTGAAGGAATGGACGCGTTTCTACAGGAAATGGCCTGGTCGGAGCTCAATTCCAGCCACCACCAGCAGCAGCTGCATCCTCAACACGTGCCAAGTGGAAGTGCTGCCGCGATAGAAAATTACACTATTTTGAACGGCGAGGTGTCCCCTGTGGTTTATCGCACGCAACGTATACAAGAAGGTGTGAATGAGCTCAAGATGAAGCGCAAGCGTCCAGCCAGTTATCACTTGAGACACCATTCGAATCCTGTCGACTTGCTGCACAATTTGGACCAGTTTCGTATACTGGCGGACCAAAGCAAGGATAAACGAGTACAGCAACAGGTGCAGCAGCAGCAACAACATCAGCAGCAACAACACCAGCAGCAACAACACCAGCAGCAGTCGAATCAAGGGTATTTAAATTCGCCTGCTGACTTGCAGGACCCTTCGATGTTTCTGGAGCCATTGCAGCAAAATCTGCAGCATTTTCAGTTCCAAGTGCCCTCTCCGATTGCCAGCGGCGCCGTGCACTCGCTGCACGGCCGTCGGTCGTCGCTCGGCAGTACGTTGCCTCCACGTGCAGCTGCTCGTAGACGTGGTGGTGCAAATCGTCCATCAGGACTCTCGATGGATATGTCCCAAATGAATTTGGAGTTTCTTTCAGTGCCAGAGGAACCAAGCAATCCTGATCTCGACCCATGTGGGCTATCGACTGCTGTCTCTTCATTTGACAGCAAGAAGGTAGTCGTTGACGACGCGAATCGGAAGATGTACAAGTGTGGCCGCTGTGGGCAGCCCAAGGTGGGTCATATCTGCACAATGCCCGATCAGCGCAACAACTGGACGCAGGTGGACCTCGAGGTCACGAAAGGTCTTAAAATCATGCGCAGTAGCTGCCACATTATGCCGGTGAAGAGCAAGTGGAAGGTCCAGTGCAACGACCATGAACCGGTGCAACTTGTTCCTAAGGGTGACGTTAAGCACGAATTCGATACGGCAGTAAATCAGCTGTGGGCTTAGAAGAGCTAAATCGTCAAGTGCATGTAGTGCTCGTAAACACTGCGGATATTTTGGACATAATGTGAATTGTCTTTGATCTTGTAAAGGCAAAAGCAGTATCGCTGCTGCACACTTTTGGTCTTTTGTTGATCCATTCCTTCGTTTTCACACTCGCCCCTGACGAGGATGCGTGTTAACAATTGAATGGTCCTGTTTATTGTTTAACTGTCAACTTGCTAAGGTCTAACAAAAGCGTGCCAGCTGCCATTCCCCGTTTCTGTTTCAGACATATTAAGCGACTACCTCGCACGTTAACCGCTAGGCATAAATATTCCTTTTGTAGCCATTATGTAACGGGGCACCCTGAAGCTTGTACTGATGACAGTACAAGCTACTTATTCTGATGACAGAATAAGGCGGTGCCTCGTGACTTCACGTACACTCGTACGTGCAGAGGAAGACGGTAAGAAGAAGCGAGTACTTAGTTAATGTAACGGGGTGAATCGTTACATAACAATTTATAAGAAATTGTTAATAGAATATAACTATAAGAGTTATATTCTCAGAATATTATCATAAGGACAAATATTCTGTAGCACTTACGAGTAGTTCCTAATTGGTTGATATAGGCCATTATATCAACCAACGCAGACACGCCACGACAGACGCACGCAATGAGTGGTGAGCAGATAGTTGATATGCACATTTGTATTTAGACATAGTTAGATGAAGATAAATAGTGATTTATTGCAGACATTAACTATTATAAATACAGTTCTACTTTTTACTTTAACCAAGTACTCGCTTCTTCTTTACTGTCTTCCTCTGCACGTACGAGTGTACGTGAAGTTACGAGGCACCGCCTTATTCTGTCATCAGAATAAGTAGCTTGTACTGTCACCAGTACAAGCTTCAGGGTGCCCCGTTACACCTGGTAGCACTTCGTAGTCCGTCCAAGGACCACGTTCACATCTAACATGAATATGTTAGATGATGATGATGACCAAAGCTTTCACGCGACGCGTGACGGCTACTCCCATTTGAGCAATGTCGAATGGGATGCGGTCGAACGGATGGGTTCAACCATGAGCATCCATGCTGTTAGCGTCATGCTAGAGGCTCTCAATAGAGATGCCCAACATGCTACTATCGCCAAGTTCATTCAAAATGAACTTGACGCTGAACGCGAGAAAGTAGCCTTGCTTCACCAACAAGGTTATCAACAAGCAGAGTTGTTGAGAGAACAGGGTGCTCAACAGTTTGAACTGTTGAGACAGCAGCAGGCTGCTGCTGGTGGGTCGATGCACTCGCGTCGACCCGAGACCTTGAAGATTGACATCTCCAAGTATAAGGAGTCGAAGAGGACTCCCTCTTGAGATGGTTCGTCGAATTGGATGACTCCATAAGGGCGCGTCGCATCGACGATGGGGAAATGCAAGTTGCATTTGCCCAGTCAAATCTGGCAGGACGTGCCAAGACTTGGGCACTGGGGCTCAAGTTGCACGACCCATATGCGTTTGGGTCGTTAGAAGTCTTCAAGTCGCGGCTCAGACAAACGTTTGAACCGCCTAGAGCTGAGTTCAGAGCTCGAACTGAACTCTAGAAGCCCAAGCAGGGTAAGCGTGATGTGCACGCTTACGCGCAACATATACGACATCTCACGAGTTGTATAAGTTCCAATCCGGTTGATGAACACACGTTGGTTTCGGTGTTCATGCAGGGTCTTGCGGATGGTCCCGTCAAGACTCACCTGTTTCGGCTTAAACTAGATTCACTAGAACAAGCCATTTCCATTGCGGAACAGGAAGACATCAGTCTGAGACAGGCTCGCGCCAGCTCGACATCATATCGTCAACCGAGACGGTATGACAACGGAGGTCCAGAGCCGATGGAATTCTGTTATGTAGAGAGCGAGAAGGCTCGCTCTACAGACTACAAGAAGCTGCAGAAATGCAACAGATATCAGAAGACAGGACACTACGCTTACGAGTGTAGTGCCCCTCGTCCAGTGTCTCGCGACACTGGGCGTAGTGACCGTCCACCCATGAGAAAGGGGCAGGGACGCGGGTCCGCTGTTGGTGCAAAGACGCAACAACGGGATGGACCGTCAAAAAACGGTCAGGATCAGTAGGTGCGGAGCACCCTACTGGTCCAGCAACGTCAAGAGAATTTGTAGGCCTCTTGATGAAGGTTGCTCCCAACGCACAAACGTTGTGCGTTGCTGCTCTAGGTAATGAGGACTCACTCATTACCTTGAAACTCGAAGTGACGAATAAGTTGTCCTTTCGAGCTCTAGTCGATTGTGGGGCGTCCAACAATTTTGTGCGACGCCAATCGCTAGAAGATGGTCACTTCAATTACAGTGAATGTGACACACCTCCTACGAGGATGACGGTACGTCTTGCGACAGGCGCATCCGTAACCATCATGAAGCGTATAGTGAAGATTCACTATACGCTAGAAGATACCCAGTATGACGATGACTTTATCGTATTGGATTTGGATGACAAATTTGATGTCATCCTTGGAATACCGTGGCTCAGAAGGTACGAACCATGGGTAAACTGGCAACATCGAACAGTAACGATGCCTGCCGCTTGTTCATCAGATGGCCATCTGATGAACGTTTTGGAGAGTCCACAAGCGTGTGGATGTACTACGAGTGAGTGCGATGGCCTCACTTGTGGTACGGTCGTTAGCACGACTGCACAAAACCTTAGCGTAACAAACAGTTACACTTCGGAGCAAAGTTCCGGCGGCTGTGAGGAAACACAGGCTGCGCCGAAGGTCCACAACTCGAATAAGTCGAGTGGACCGGGACAAAGATGTATCCCTAGCGGGGAACATCTAGAAGAGAAACAATCGATCGCTCAGGTTAAGCGAAACGATAATCCTAGATCGACTGGAGAGTCTTTCGTAGAGGATCTCACTGTGGTTGCGCAACCACAGCTAGAGGAAGTTAAGGGAATAAATCCCGATATAACAGATACGGTGGAAATAAGTTCCCCGAAACCCGCGGGAATAAGTCCCCGGGAAGCCGAAGGAATAAGTCCTTCGAAGCCTGTGGGAATAAGTCCCCAGGAAATGACAGAGACATTAAATGTCATAGTCAATAACGGATCAAGTGTAGGCGCTTATACACTTGATCTGATTGCGCCTCCGAAGTTGACTTCAGAGATCACTCAGTTGCCAACGCTCGAACATCAAAGGTTCTTGCGTGATCTGCGTAGTGGCAAAGTCAAGCAGATCTGCGTACTCGTCGCTGATGATGAGTGTGTAACCGACATAAGGTCAGCAACAGTGTTTCCTGAGAACGAGAGAGTTCTCAGTAGTTCATCTATGGACGAGAGTGTCCTAAATGAAAAGACACGAGTTGAGCGATATGACTCCCAATCGTGGAAATCGCTCAAGACAAATCCTCTCTATGAAGATTTGGTTGAATTCAAGGATGTATTCCCTGAAACTGTTCCGTGCGAATTACCGAAGGATAAAGGTATTCGACACGAGGTCGAGCTTAAACCAGGCTCGAAGTACTGTGTCATGAAGCAGTGGCCACTGCCCCGTGAACAAGTACTTGCGATCGACAAGTTCTTTGCCGATTGTTTAGCAGCGGGCCATTTGAGGGAATCAACTTCCCCACATAGCTCTCCGACCTTCTGTGTGCGAAAAGCAACAGGAGGGTGGCGGATAGTGCACGCGTTCAACAAATTGAACGCTGCAACGGTACCGGTTCAGACGCCGATACCGAGGAAGGACGTAATCATTGATGGTATGTCAAAGAGTACCATCTTTCTGTCCATGGATTTGATGGATGGCTTCTATCAAATCCTTATGCGAGAACGGGATATACCCTATACCGCAGTTAGCACGCCTAGCGGCATGCTCTGGGAATGGCTAGTAATGCCACAAGGGCTTAGTAATGCCCCTGTCACGTTCAACAGATGTGTATCACATCTGTTGAGACCAGTACGAGAATTCGCGCCGAGTTATTTCGATGACGTATTCATCCATAGTCGAGCTATGGATGGAAAGTCGGATGTTGAGGTTCACAGGTACCACGTCCGACAGGTTCTTACAATCATGCGAAAGCATCAATTGTATGCAAACCTCAAGAAGTGTATATTTGCAGCAAGCGAAATACCACTTCTAGGGTGCATCGTTAGAAAGAACGAAGTACGTCCTGATCCCGAAAAGATCAAGGCGATCACCGACTGGCCTGTGCCAGTCGATGTAAAAGGTCTTCGAAAATTCCTTGGGCTAGCGGCGTATTTGCACAAGTATTCACGCAATTACGCCGAGATGACTGTACACCTCTCTCGTTTGTTGAAAAGAACGAGAGGTGGTTATGGAACGCTGAATGTCAGCGCTCCTTTGAGGGTATCAAGCAGAGCTTGATACAATCCCCAGTCCTAGCAATTGCCGATCAGGACAGGCCATTTCATGTGGTCTGTGATGCCAGCGATTTCGCAATCGGCTGTGCATTAATGCAGTACGATCTTGAAGGCGTTGAACGCGTCGTCTGCTATCAGTCGCGTCAGCTGCAACCAGCTGAGCGGAACAATCCAGTACATGACAAGGAACTCCTTGCCATGAAGTATGCACTCGCGAAGTTCAGAGTCTATTTATTAGGAGATAGACCCTTCATTGTTTACACTGACCATGCGTCATTACGCACGGCAGTGAACAGCCCGCACCTTTCACAACGAATGGCGCGGTGGTTGTAATTCTTTGCAGAATACAACTTTACGGTTGAGTACAAACCAGGACGACTTAATGTCGTCGCTGATGCACTCTCACGTCGGCCCGACTTTGAATCAGTCGCGAAACCCAACAGTGGGGCAGCCACTGTTGCGGTTATGACGTCCTCAGTCCCATCTACAACGTTGTATGATGATGTGAGGCGGGCATACGCCCAATATGGTGAGATAGTGAAGTTGTTGACACATCTCTCCCAACCATCTCGAGAATCGTTGAAACGATTGTCGCCTGCGTATCGATCTGCATCAGATCGATACACTACTCGCAACGGGTTACTGTATTATACAGCCGTTTCTGGTGACACACCACGTGTTGTCATTCCAGATGATACTGATCTGCGTTTGCGGATCATGTTCGAGTATCACGATGCTCCTATAGGAGGACATCGTGGCCGGGAGAAAACCTATCTCACGGTGAGTCGAGACTTTTACTGGCCCCGCCAGTATCAGTTTGTGCGCAAGTACATTCGCGCATGCGAAGTCTGTCAACGAGTGAAGTCAAGTCCTTCACTGCGTGCACCTTTACAGACTCTACCGGTTCCGGCTGAGTGCTGGGAATCCATCTCAATGGATTTCGTCTTCGGGTTACCCAAAGACGCACGCGGGAATACGGGTATTCTCGTTTTTGTTGACAGATTCAGCAAAATGGTACACCTTGTGGCTTTACCAGAGTCAATCACAGCAAGTGGCTGTGCTTGTGTCTTTATTGACACCATCTTCCGACTTCATGGGTTGCCCCGTGAACTCGTATCAGACAGAGATCCACGCTTCACAGCTGGTTTTTGGCGATCCGTGTTCAAATCACTCGGTACGCGCTTGAAGATGTCGACATCTGATCATCCAGAGTCAGATGGTCAGACGGAACGTGCCAATCGTGTCCTCGAAGAGATACTTCGAGGATACGTACACTCCTTCAAGAGTTGGAGTGCGTTCTTGCCAATGGTAGAGTTTGCCATTAACAACTCGGTGCATGCGTCCACGACACATACATCGTTTTACGTGAATGGCTTACGCCATCCGCGAGTACCCACCTTACTAGAGTGTGACTCTGGTTTAAGGGGGAGGGACTCGCGCGAGCAAAAACCGATTTGGTTCACGCTCATCACGCTCTGACGATGAGGTCATTGCGTTTGATGCCGATATCGATAACATCGATATCGAAGAAGATGATGCCAGTGAGAGTGCGGAAGCCCTCACTGAAGAAAAGGTTGATGTTGCTGCAGTGCACTCACAGCGCACTGAAGCTAACGAGTCAGCAGATGAGTTCATACTGGCTCGTGAAACGGTAGTCCGTTTTGTGCAAGACTCCATCGCCGAAGCGGTGGATAAGCAAAAGCAAAACGCTGACAAGAATGTAAGGGCAAACACTCTTTTATTCAATAAGGGTGACTTAGTCCTACTGTCTACGGTTAATCTACCAAAACATGTAGTGACTAACTTGGGTAGCAGTAAACTACTACCCAAGTACATTGGCCCATTTCGTGTATTGCACCGCCTAGGCAATGCATACACGATCGAGTTACCACGTAAGATGCGAGCGCATCCCACGTTTTACGTTGGTCGGCTTAAGCCGTACCATCAGTACGCTGCTTCTTCCGATGAAGAACGCCTTGCGCTCAAGCATCTCGCAGAGAGCCTTGTGCTCCCGATGGTGGGCATCAACAAGGGTCTGAAGAGCAGCTATCTCATACCGAGACCGATCAAGAATCCACGAGCTACCCTTAGCTCGTCACGCAGAGATGCCAAAGCTCTCTCGTTCTCTAGCTGAGCAAAAGCATACTCAGCTCGACGCTTCAAGACAGTGTCCGCCAGTTGGAGACGTCTGTCCCGCTCGTGCTCGATGTCGTCTCAAAACGCAAGAGTTACGTGATCAAAGAAGCTCTCGGGAACACACGGATCCCGACGATAGTGTGGAGAGCGTCTTTCCTCCTCCTCCACCTCCATTAGAGGACTCTCGCGGTGGCCAGCGCTATCTGGTTGAGCAGCTGTTGAACCACCGCGACGTGAACGGACGTCGGACGAGTTATCTCGTCCGATGGCGCGGCTATCCCCCGTCCTGGGATACTTGGGAGCCCCGCTCCCAACTGATGGTTGACGTACTGGGTCTGGTTGAGCAGTACGACGCGGCACATCCTGTGCCGCAGAAGGACCGCCGGAGAAAGTCTTCCCGGCACGGTCATAAAGGGATTTCAGGTTGTCAATCCCTTCGTACATCTCAGTAGAGATACGTACGCGCCACCACGGGCTAGTAAGAAGGTAAGCCTCCTTAGGTGCTCGTGCAGAGTTGTTCACACAACATGGGCACGAGTCTCCCCAAGAGAGGCAGGGTAATCCTTTCTCCCTTGACAGACGATGCAGCTTGTAGCGTGCACCTGTCGGGGTTCGCTTTTCAAACTTATCACGAGCTTTGATAAGTTTGTCGTTCCAAGCGTCACGACCTACATCCTCGAGGTTATGGATGTAGGCGTTCCACGCTTGAAGCAGTGAGGGACCATCACGTTTGTGATTCCCACTGTACCATCGATGTTTGAAGAAAGCATCGATGAAGAATTCATGTTCAGCGCGATAGTCTTTCGCGCTGGGGTCAAGGTGATGGATCCTTGACGAATCGAACAACCGTGTTCGATAACGATCACTCGTCGTCGCCGACAAGTGATCCATGACGGATTTAGGAGGCATCCATGCCTTCTTTTCAGGAGCGAGACGCAACACATTGCGGTCCCGCTCTTCCTGCGACGTGCCGACAGAAGTACTGGCACCTCGCTGTGAAGTGGTGTCAATAGGAGAACCGACACCACTGTTAGCGCCCGAGTCTCGCGACCTCGAGCGCCTTCGCTTCGGCGGTGGTTCATCTGATTCATCAGATGAACCAAAGATGCTACGATGCATAGCATCATCCATGCCACGCTTGGCAGGCGGCTTAGATTCGATCGCCGCCGATACGGATCCGTCTTCCGTATCAGGAGAGTATGAGACACCGATCTCATACATTGTGAAGACATGAGTGTCTTCATGACTAGCGCCTGTATCACCAAGTGACACAGGCTGAGTCACTTCAGCAACCGATGAGACATCAGTTGCTGTGGTTTCTGCTTCGGCGTCCGCACAGAGACGTGCGGACGCGCTCTTCGGCCGCGCTTCGCGCATCGCATGGGCTTGTTAACCATGCGATGAATTGTTGGAAAGTGGACTCGGACCAACAAGTGCAAACCCTGTCCAAAATGATTTGGGACGAGTATCCATTTAGTCAATCAGTCACTAAAGTGACTGATGGTTAAGGGGTGATGTAACCGGGGTGAATCGTTACATAACAATTTATAAGAAATTGTTAATAGAATATAACTATAAGAGTTATATTCTCAGAATATTATCATAAGGACAAATATTCTGTAGCACTTACGAGTAGTTCCTAATTGGTTGATATAGGCCATTATATCAACCAACGAAGATTGCCACGACAGACGCACGCAATGAGTGGTGAGCAGATAACTGATTTACACATTTGTATTTAGACATAGTTAGATGAAGATAAATAGTGATTTATTGCAGACATTAACTATTATAAATACAGTTCTACTTTTTACTTTAACTGAAACGGGGCACCCTGAAGCTTGTACTGATGACAGTACAAGCTACTTATTCTGATGACAGAATAAGGCGGTGCCTCGTAACTTCACGTACACTCGTACGTGCAGAGGAAGACAGTAAAGAAGAAGCGAGTACTTGGTTAAAGTAAAAAGTAGAACTGTATTTAGTATAGTTAATGTCTGCAATAAATCACTATTTATCTTCATCTAACTATGTCTAAATACAAATGTGTAAATCTAGTTATCTGCTCACCACTCATTGCGTGCGTCTGTCGTGGCGCGTCTTCGTTGGTTGATATAATGGCCTATATCAACCAATTAGGAACTACTCGTAAGTGCTACAGAATATTTGTCCTTATGATAATATTCTGAGAATATAACTCTTATAGTTATATTCTATTAACAATTTCTTATAAATTGTTATGTAACGATTCACCCCGTTACATCACCCCCCCTTAACCATCAGTCACTTTAGTGACTGATTGACTAAATGGATACTCGTCCCAAATCATTTTGGACAGGGTTTGCACTTGTTGGTCCGAGTCCACTTTCCAACAATTCATCGCATGGTTAACAAGCCCATGCGATGCGCGAGCAAGGCCGCCGAGAGCGCGTCCGCACGTCTCTGTGCGGACGCCGAAGCAGAAACCACAGCAACTGATGTCTCATCGGTTGCTGAAGTGACTCAGCCTGTGTCACTTGGTGATACAGGCGCTAGTCATGAAGACACTCATGTCTTCACAATGTATGAGATCGGTGTCTCATACTCTCCTGATACGGAAGACGGATCCGTATCGGCGGCGATCGAATCTAAGCCGCCTGCCAAGCGTGGCATGGATGATGCTATGCATCGTAGCATCTTTGGTTCATCTGATGAATCAGATGAACCACCGCCGAAGCGAAGGCGCTCGAGGTCGCGAGACTCGGGCGCTAACAGTGGTGTCGGTTCTCCTATTGACACCACTTCACAGCGAGGTGCCAGTACTTCTGTCGGCACGTCGCAGGAAGAGCGGGACCGCAATGTGTTGCGTCTCGCTCCTGAAAAGAAGGCATGGATGCCTCCTAAATCCGTCATGGATCACTTGTCGGCGACGACGAGTGATCGTTATCGAACACGGTTGTTCGATTCGTCAAGGATCCATCACCTTGACCCCAGCGCGAAAGACTATCGCGCTGAACATGAATTCTTCATCGATGCTTTCTTCAAACATCGATGGTACAGTGGGAATCACAAACGTGATGGTCCCTCACTGCTTCAAGCGTGGAACGCCTACATCCATAACCTCGAGGATGTAGGTCGTGACGCTTGGAACGACAAACTTATCAAAGCTCGTGATAAGTTTGAAAAGCGAACCCCGACAGGTGCACGCTACAAGCTGCATCGTCTGTCAAGGGAGAAAGGATTACCCTGCCTCTCTTGGGGAGACTCGTGCCCATGTTGTGTGAACAACTCTGCACGAGCACCTAAGGAGGCTTACCTTCTTACTAGCCCGTGGTGGCGCGTACGTATCTCTACTGAGATGTACGAAGGGGATTGACAACCTGAAATCCCTTTACGACCGTGCCGGGAAGACTTTCTCCGGCGGTCCTTCTGCGGCACAGGATGTGCCGCGTCGTACTGCTCTACCAGACTCAGTACGTCAACCATCAGTTGGGAGCGGGGCTCCCAAGAATCCCAGGACGGGGGATAGCCGCGCCACCGGACGAGATAACTCGTCGGACGTCCGTTCACGTCGCGGTGGTTCAACAGCTGCTCAACCAGATAGCGCTGGCCACCGCGAGAGTCCTCTAATGGAGGTGGAGGAGGAGGAAAGACGCTCTCCACACGATCATGGGGAAGCGTGTGTTCCCGAAAGCTTCTTTGATCGCGTAACGCAAGGGTTACGCGGCGATCTCGAACATGAGCGGGACAGACGTCTCCAACTGGCGGACACTGTCTTGAAGCGTCGAGCTGAGTATGCTTTTGCTCAGCTAGAGAACGAGAGAGCTTTGGCATCTCTTCGTGACGAGCTAAGGGTAGCTCGTGGGATTGTTGATCGGTCTCGGGATGAGATAGCTGCTCTTCAGACCCTTGTTGATGCCCACCATCGGGAGCACAAGGATCTCTGCGAGATGCTTGAGCGCAAGGCGTTCTTCATCGGAAGAAGCAGCGTACTGATGGTACGGCTTAAGCCGACCAACGTAAAACGTGGGATGCGCTCGCATCTTACGTGGTAACTCGATCGTGTATGCATTGCCTAGGCGGTGCAATACACGAAATGGGCCAATGTACTTGGGTAGTAGTTTACTGCTACCCAAGTTAGTCACTACATGTTTTGGTAGATTAACCGTAGACAGTAGGACTAAGTCACCCTTATTGAATAAAAGAGTGTTTGCCCTTACATTCTTGTCAGCGTTTTGCTTTTGCTTATCCACCGCTTCGGCGATGGAGTCTTGCACAAAACGGACTACCGTTTCACGAGCCAGTATGAACTCATCTGCTGACTCGTTAGCTTCAGTGCGCTGTGAGTGCACTGCAGCAACATCAACCTTTTCTTCAGTGAGGGCTTCCGCACTCTCACTGGCATCATCTTCTTCGATATCGATGTTATCGATATCGGCATCAAACGCAATGACCTCTTCGTCAGAGCGTGATGAGCGTGAACCAAATCGGTTTTTGCTCGCGCGAGTCCCTCCCCCCTTAAACCAGAGTCACACTCTAGTAAGGTGGGTACTCGCGGATGGCGTAAGCCATTCACGTAAAACGATGTATGTGTCGTGGACGCATGCACCGAGTTGTTAATGGCAAACTCTACCATTGGCAAGAACGCACTCCAACTCTTGAAGGAGTGTACGTATCCTCGAAGTATCTCTTCGAGGACACGATTGGCACGTTCCGTCTGACCATCTGACTCTGGATGATCAGATGTCGACATCTTCAAGCGCGTACCGAGTGATTTGAACACGGATCGCCAAAAACCAGCTGTGAAGCGTGGATCTCTGTCTGATACGAGTTCACGGGGCAACCCATGAAGTCGGAAGATGGTGTCAATAAAGACACAAGCACAGCCACTTGCTGTGATTGACTCTGGTAAAGCCACAAGGTGTACCATTTTGCTGAATCTGTCAACAAAAACGAGAATACCCGTATTCCCGCGTGCGTCTTTGGGTAACCCGAAGACGAAATCCATTGAGATGGATTCCCAGCACTCAGCCGGAACCGGTAGAGTCTGTAAAGGTGCACGCAGTGAAGGACTTGACTTCACTCGTTGACAGACTTCGCATGCGCGAATGTACTTGCGCACAAACTGATACTGGCGGGGCCAGTAAAAGTCTCGACTCACCGTGAGATAGGTTTTCTCCCGGCCACGATGTCCTCCTATAGGAGCATCGTGATACTCGAACATGATCCGCAAACGCAGATCAGTATCATCTGGAATGACAACACGTGGTGTGTCACCAGAAACGGCTGTATAATACAGTAACCCGTTGCGAGTAGTGTATCGATCTGATGCAGATCGATACGCAGGCGACAATCGTTTCAACGATTCTCGAGATGGTTGGGAGAGATGTGTCAACAACTTCACTATCTCACCATCTTGGGCGTATGCCCGCCTCACATCATCATACAACGTTGTAGATGGGACTGAGGACGTCATAACCGCAACAGTGGCTGCCCCACTGTTGGGTTTCGCGACTGATTCAAAGTCGGGCCGACGTGAGAGTGCATCAGCGACGACATTAAGTCGTCCTGGTTTGTACTCAACCGTAAAGTTGTATTCTGCAAAGAATTACAACCACCGCGCCATTCGTTGTGAAAGGTGCGGGCTGTTCACTGCCGTGCGTAATGACGCATGGTCAGTGTAAACAATGAAGGGTCTATCTCCTAATAAATAGACTCTGAACTTCGCGAGTGCATACTTCATGGCAAGGAGTTCCTTGTCATGCACTGGATTGTTCCGCTCAGCTGGTTGCAGCTGACGCGACTGATAGCAGACGACGCGTTCAACGCCTTCAAGATCGTACTGCATTAATGCACAGCCGATTGCGAAATCGCTGGCATCACAGACCACATGAAATGGCCTGTCCTGATCGGCAATTGCTAGGACTGGGGATTGTATCAAGCTCTGCTTGATACCCTCAAAGGAGCGCTGACATTCAGCGTTCCATAACCACCTCTCGTTCTTTTCAGCAAACGAGAGAGGTGTACAGTCATCTCGGCGTAATTGCGTGAATACTTGTGCAAATACGCCGCTAGCCCAAGGAATTTTCGAAGACCTTTTACATCGACTGGCACAGGCCAGTCGGTGATCGCCTTGATCTTTTCGGGATCAGGACGTACTTCGTTCTTTCTAACGATGCACCCAAGAAGTGGTATTTCGCTTGCTGCAAATATACACTTCTTGAGGTTTGCATACAATTGATGCTTTCGCATGATTGTAAGAACCTGTCGGACGTGGTACCTGTGAACCTCAACGTCCGACTTTCCATCCATAGCCCGACTATGGATGAATACGTCATCAAAATAACTCGGCGCGAATTCTCGTACTGGTCTCAACAGATGTGATACACATCTGTTGAACGTGGCAGGGGCATTACTAAGCCCTTGTGGCATTACTAGCCATTCCCAGAGCATGCCGCTAGGCGTGCTAACTGCGGTATAGGGTATATCCCGTTCTCGCATAAGGATTTGATAGAAGCCATCCATCAAATCCATGGACGGAAAGATGGTACTCTTTGACATACCATCAATGATTACGTCCTTCCTCGGTATCGGCGTCTGAGCCGGTACCGTTGCAGCATTCAACTTGTTAAATGCATGCACTATCCGCCACCCTCCTGTTGCTTTTCGCACACAGAAGGTCGGAGAGCTATGTGGGGAAGTTGATTCCCTCACATGGCCCGCTGCTAAACGATCGGCAAAGAACTTGTCGATCGCAAGTACTTGTTCACGGGGCAGTGGCCACTGCTTCATGACACAGTACTTCGAGCCTGGTTTAAGCTCGACCTCGTGTCGAATACCTTTATCCTTCGGTAATTCGCACGGAACAGTTTCAGGGAATACATCCTTGAATTCAACCAAATCTTCATAGAGAGGATTTGTCTTGAGCGATTTCCACGATTGGGAGTCATATCGCTCAATTCGTGTCTTTTCATTTAGGACACTCTCGTCCATAGATGAACTACTGAGAACTCTCTCGTTCTCAGGAAACACTGTTGCTGACCTTATGTCGGTTACACACTCATCATCAGCGACGAGTACGCAGATCTGCTTGACTTTGCCACTACGCAGATCACGCAAGGACCTTTTATGTTCGAGCGTTGGCAACTGAGTGATCTCCGAAGTCAACTTCGGAGGCGCAATCAGATCAAGTGTATAAGCGCCTACACTTGATCCGTTATTGACTATGACATTCAATATCTCTGTCATTTCCTGGGGACCTATTCCCTCAGGCTTCGAAGGACTTATTCCTTCGTCTTCCCGGGGACTTATTCCCGCGGGTTTCGGGGAGCTTATTTCCGCCGTATTTGTAATCTTGGGACTTATTCCCTTACTTCCTCTAGCTGTGGTTGCCAACCACAGTGAGATCCTCTACGAAAGAATCTCCAGTCGATCTAGGATTATCGTTTCGCTTAACCTGAGCGATCGATTGTTTCTCTTCTAGATGTTCCCCGCTAGGGATACATCTTTGTCCCAGTCCACCCGACTTATTCGAGTGGTGGACCTTCGGCGCAGCCTGTGTTTCCTCACAGCCGCCGGAACTTTGCTCCGAAGTGTAACCGTTTGGTACACTAAGGTTTTGTGCAGTCGTACTAACGACCGTACCACAAGTGAGGCCATCGCACTCACTCGTAGTACATCCACACGCTTGTGGACTCTCCAAAACGTTCATCAGATGGCCATCTGATGAACAAGCGGCAGGCATCGTTACTGTTCGATGTTGCCAGTTTACCCATGGTTCGTACCTTCTGAGCCACGGTATTCCAAGGATGACATCAAATTTGTCATCCAAATCCAATACGATAAAGTCATCGTCATACTGGGTATCTTCTAGCGTATAGTGAATCTTCACTATACGCTTCATGATGGTTACGGATGCGCCTGTCGCAAGACGTACCGTCATCCTCGTAGGAGGTGTGTCACATTCACTGTAATTGAAGTGACCATCTTCTAGCGATTGGCGTCGCACAAAATTGTTGGACGCCCCACAATCGACTAGAGCTCGAAGGGACAACTTATTCGTCACTTCGAGTTTCAAGGTAATGAGTGAGTCCTCATTACCTAGAGCAGGAACGCACAACGTTTGTGCGTTGGGAGCAACCTTCATCAAGAGGCCTACAAATTCTCTTGACGTTGCTGGACCAGTAGGGTGCTCCGCGCCTACTGATCCTGACCGTTTTTTGACGGTCCATCCCGTTGTTGCGTCTTTGCACCAACAGCGGACCCGCGTCCCTGCCCCTTTCTCATGGGTGGACGGTCACTACGCCCAGTGTCGCGAGACACTGGACGAGGGGCACTACACTCGTAAGCGTAGTGTCCTGTCTTCTGATATCTGTTGCATTTCTGCAGCTTCTTGTAGTCTGTAGAGCGAGCCTTCTCGCTCTCTACATAACAGAATTCCATCGGCTCTGGACCTCCGTTGTCATACCGTCTCGGTTGACGATATGATGTCGAGCTGGCGCGAGCCTGTCTCAGACTGATGTCTTCCTGTTCCGCAATGGAAATGGCTTGTTCTAGTGAATCTAGTTTAAGCCGAAACAGGTGAGTCTTGACGGGACCATCCGCAAGACCCTGCATGAACACCGAAACCAACGTGTGTTCATCAACCGGATTGGAACTTATACAACTCGTGAGATGTCGTATATGTTGCGCGTAAGCGTGCACATCACGCTTACCCTGCTTGGGCTTCTAGAGTTCAGTTCGAGCTCTGAACTCAGCTCTAGGCGGTTCAAACGTTTGTCTGAGCCGCGACTTGAAGACTTCTAACGACCCAAACGCATATGGGTCGTGCAACTTGAGCCCCAGTGCCCAAGTCTTGGCACGTCCTGCCAGATTTGACTGGGCAAATGCAACTTGCATTTCCCCATCGTCGATGCGACGCGCCCTTATGGAGTCATCCAATTCGACGAACCATCTCAAGAGGGAGTCCTCTTCGACTCCTTATACTTGGAGATGTCAATCTTCAAGGTCTCGGGTCGACGCGAGTGCATCGACCCACCAGCAGCAGCCTGCTGCTGTCTCAACAGTTCAAACTGTTGAGCACCCTGTTCTCTCAACAACTCTGCTTGTTGATAACCTTGTTGGTGAAGCAAGGCTACTTTCTCGCGTTCAGCGTCAAGTTCATTTTGAATGAACTTGGCGATAGTAGCATGTTGGGCATCTCTATTGAGAGCCACTAGCATGACGCTAACAGCATGGATGCTCATGGTTGAACCCATCCGTTCGACCGCATCCCATTCGACATTGCTCAAATGGGAGTAGCCGTCACGCGTCGCGTGAAAGCTTTGTCATCATCATCATCTAACATATTCATGTTAGATGTGAACGTGGTCCTTGGACGGACTACGAAGTGCTACCAGGTGTAACGGGGACCCTGAAGCTTGTACTGGTGACAGTACAAGCTACTTATTCTGATGACAGAATAAGGCGGTGCCTCGTAACTTCACGTACACTCGTACGTGCAGAGGAAGACAGTAAAGAAGAAGCGAGTACTTGGTTAAAGTAAAAAGTAGAACTGTATTTATAATAGTTAATGTCTGCAATAAATCACTATTTATCTCCATCTAACTATGTCTAACTGCAAATGTGTAAATCAGTTATCTGCTCACCACTCGTTGCGTGCGTCTGTCGTGGCGCGTCTTCGTTGGTCGATATAATGGTCTATATCAACCAATTAGGAACTACTCGTAAGTGCTACAGAATATTTGTCCTTATGATAATATTCTGAGAATTTAACTCTTATAGTTATATTCTATTAACAATTTCTTATAAATTGTTATGTAACGATTCACCCCGTTACACATTACCTGATTGTATCCTTCTCAAAATGATGCTAGGTGAATTGCGCAACGACCAATGTAAGGAATAGACTTTCACCTGAAAGGCACTGAAGCTACTACTTCTCATAAATCGACATAAGCTTGATGGTCTGTTCGATTACGGACAGGTAGCCAGAAGTTCGCGCTTGAGGTAGTTACGGAGGAATTCTTTTATGTGGACTGTAACGCTATGAATCGTTACATAACAATTTATAAGAAATTGTTAATAGAATATAACTATAAGAGTTATATTCTCAGAATATTGTCATAAGGACAAATATTCTGCAGCACTTACGAGTAGTTTCTAATTGGTTGATATAGACCATTATATCGACCAACGAAGACGCGCCACGACAGACGCACGCAACGAGTGGTGAGTAGATAGTAGATTTACACATTTGCAGTTAGACATAGTTAGATGAAGATAAATAGTGATTTATTGCAGACATTAACTATTATAAATACAGTTCTACTTTTTACTTTAACCAAGTACTCGCTTCTTCTTTACTGTCTTCCTCTGCACGTACGAGTGTACGTGAAGTTACGAGGCACCGCCTTATTCTGTCATCAGAATAAGTAGCTTGTACTGTCACCAGTACAAGCTTCAGGGTGCCCCGTTACACCTGGTAGCACTTCGTAGTCCGTCCAAGGACCACGTTCACATCTAACATGAATATGTTAGATGATGATGATGACCAAAGCTTTCACGCGACGCGTGACGGCTACTCCCATTTGAGCAATGTCGAATGGGATGCGGTCGAACGGATGGGTTCAACCATGAGCATCCATGCTGTTAGCGTCATGCTAGTGGCTCTCAATAGAGATGCCCAACATGCTACTATCGCCAAGTTCATTCAAAATGAACTTGACGCTGAACGCGAGAAAGTAGCCTTGCTTCACCAACAAGGTTATCAACAAGCAGAGTTGTTGAGAGAACAGGGTGCTCAACAGTTTGAACTGTTGAGACAGCAGCAGGCTGCTGCTGGTGGGTCGATGCACTCGCGTCGACCCGAGACCTTGAAGATTGACATCTCCAAGTATAAGGAGTCGAAGAGGACTCCCTCTTGAGATGGTTCGTCGAATTGGATGACTCCATAAGGGCGCGTCGCATCGACGATGGGGAAATGCAAGTTGCATTTGCCCAGTCAAATCTGGCAGGACGTGCCAAGACTTGGGCTTTGGGGCTCAAGTTGCACGACCCATATGCGTTTGGGTCGTTAGAAGTCTTCAAGTCGCGGCTCAGACAAACGTTTGAACCGCCTAGAGCTGAGTTCAGAGCTCGAACTGAACTCTAGAAGCTCAAACAAGGTAAGCGTGATATCCACGCTTACGCGCAACATATACGACATCTCACGAGTTGTATAAGTTCCAACCCGGTTGATGAACACACGTTGGTTTCGGTGTTCATGCAGGGTCTTGCGGATGGTCCCGTCAAGACTCACCTGTTCCGACTTAAACTAGATTCACTAGAACAAGCCATTTCCATTGCGGAACAGGAAGACATCAGTCTGAGACAGGCTCGCGCCAGCTCGACATCATATCGTCAACCGAGACGGTATGACAACGGAGGTCCAGAGCCGATGGAATTCTGTTATGTAGAGAGCGAGAAGGCTCGCTCTACAGACTACAAGAAGCTGCAGAAATGCAACAGATATCAGAAGACAGGACACTACGCTTACGAGTGTAGTGCCCCTCGTCCAGTGTCTCGCGACACTGGGCGTAGTGACCATCCACCCATGAGAAAGGGGCAGGGACGCGGGTCCGCTGTTGGTGCAAAGACGCAACAACGGGATGGACCGTCAAAAAACGGTCAGGATCAGTAGGTGCGGAGCACCCTACTGGTCCAGCAACGTCAAGAGAATTTGTAGGCCTCTTGATGAAGGTTGCTCCCAACGCACAAACGTTGTGCGTTGCTGCTCTAGGTAATGAGGACTCACTCATTACCTTGAAACTCGAAGTGACGAATAAGTTGTCCCTTCGAGCTCTAGTCGATTGTGGGGCGTCCAACAATTTTGTGCGACGCCAATCGCTAGAAGATGGTCACTTCAAGTTCAGTGAATGTGACACACCTCCTACGAGGATGACGGTACGTCTTGCGACAGGCGCATCTGTAACCGTCATGAAGCGTATAGTGAAAATCCTCTATACGCTAGAAGATACCCAATATGACGATGACTTTATCGTATTGGATTTGGATGACAAATTTGATGTCATCCTTGGAATACCGTGGCTCAGAAGGTACGAACCACGGGTAAACTGGCAACATCGGACAGTAACGATGCCTGCCGCTTGTTCATCAGATGGCCATCTGATGAACGTTTTGGAGCGTCCACAAGCGTGTGGATGTACTACGAGTGAGTGCGATGGCTTCACTTGTGGTACGGTCGTTAGCACGACTGCACAAAACCTTAGCGTAACAAACAGTTACACTTCGGAGCAAAGTTCCGGCGGCTGTGAGGAAACACAGGCTGCGCCGAAGGTCCACAACTCGAATAAGTCGAGTGGACCGGGACAAAGATGTATCCCTAGCGGGGAACATCTAGAAGAGAAACAATTGATCGCTCAGGTTAAGCGAAACGATAATCCTAGATCGACTGAAGAGTCTTTCGTAGAGGATCTCGCTGTGGTTGCGCAACCACAGCTAAAGAAAGTTAAGAGAATAAGTCCCGATATTACAAATACGGCGGAAATAAGCTCCCCGAAACCCGAGGGAATAAGTCCCCGGGAAGCCGAAGGAATAAGTCCTTCGAAACCTGTGGGGATAAGTCCCCAGGAAATGACAGAGACATTGAATGTCATAGTCAATAACGGATCAAGTGTAGGCGCTTATACACTTGATCTGATTGCGCCTCCGAAGTTGACTTCGGAGATCACTCAGTTGCCAACGCTCGAACATAAAAGGTTCTTGCGTGATCTGCGTAGTTGCAAAGTCAAGCAGATCTGCGTACTCGTCGCTGACGACGAGTGTGTAACCGACATTAGGTCAGCAACAATGTTTACTGAGAACGAGAGAGTTCTCAGTAGTTCATCTATGGACGAGAGTGTCCTAGATGAAAAGACACGAATTGAGCGATATGACTCCCAATCGTGGGAATCGCTCAAGACAAATCCTCTCTATGAAGATTTGGTTGAATTCAAGGATGTATTCCCTGAAACTGTTCCGTGCGAATTACCGAAGGATAAAGGTATTCGACACGAGGTCGAGCTTAAACCAGGCTCGAAGTACTGTGTCATGAAGCAGTGGCCACTGCCTCGTGAACAAGTATTTGCGATCGACAAGTTCTTTGCCGATCGTTTAGCTGCGGGCCATGTGAGGGAATCAACTTCCCCACATAGCTCTCCGACCTTCTGTGTGCGAAAAGCAACAGGAGGGTGGCGGATAGTGCATGCATTTAACAAGTTGAATGCTGCAACGGTACCGGCACAGACGCCGATACCGAGGAAGGACGTAATCATTGATGGTATGTCAAAGAGTACCATCTTTTCGTCCATGGATTTGATGGATGGCTTCTATCAAATCCTTATGCGAGAACGGGATATACCCTATACCGCAGTTAGCACGCCTAGCGGCATGCTCTGGGAATGGCTAGTAATGCCACAAGGGCTTAGTAATGCCCCTGTCACGTTCAACAGATGTGTATCACATCTGTTGAGACCAGTACGAGAATTCGCGCCGAGTTATTTCGATGACGTATTCATCCATAGTCGGGCTATGGATGGAAAGTCGGACGTTGAGGTTCACAGGTACCACGTCCGACAGGTTCTTACAATCATGCGAAAGCATCAATTGTATGCAAACCTCAAGAAGTGTATATTTGCAGCAAGCGAAATACCACTTCTTGGGTGCATCGTTGGTAAGAACGGTGTACGTCCTGATCCCGAAAAGATCAAGGCGATCACCGACTGGCCTGTGCCAGTCGATGTCAAAGGTCTTCGAAAATTCCTTGGGCTAGCGGCGTATTTGCACAAGTATTCACGCAATTACGCCGAGATGACTGTACACCTCTCTCGTTTGTTGAAAAGAACGAGAGGTGGTTATGGAACGCTGAATGTCAGCGCTCCTTTGAGGGTATCAAGCAGAGCTTGATACAATCCCCAGTCCTAGCAATTGCCGATCAGGACAGGCCATTTCATGTGGTCTGTGATGCCAGCGATTTCGCAATCGGCTGTGCATTAATGCAGTACGATCTTGAAGGCGTTGAACGCGTCGTCTGCTATCAGTCGCGTCAGCTGCAACCAGCTGAGCGGAACAATCCAGTGCATGACAAGGAACTCCTTGCCATGAAGTATGCACTCGCGAAGTTCAGAGTCTATTTATTAGGAGATAGACCATTCATTGTTTACACTGACCATGCGTCATTACGCACGGCAGTGAACAGCCCGCACCTTTCACAACGAATGGCGCGGTGGTTGTCATTCTTTGCAGAATACAACTTTACGGTTGAGTACAAACCAGGACGACTTAATGTCGTCGCTGATGCACTCTCACGTCGTTCCGACTTTAAAACAGTCGCGAAACCCAACAGTGGGGCAGCCACTGTTGCGGTTATGACGTCCTCAGTCCCATCTACAACGTTGTATGATGATGTGAGGCGGGCATATGCCCAAGATGGTGAGATAGTGAAGTTGTTGACACATCTCTCCCAACCATCTCGAGAATCGTTGAAACGATTGTCGCCTGCGTATCGATCTGCATCAGATCGATACACTACTCGCAACGGGTTACTGTATTATACAGCCGTTTCTGGTGACACACCACGTGTTGTCATTCCAGATGATACTGATCTGCGTTTGCGGATCATGTTCGAGTATCACGATGCTCCTATAGGAGGACATCGTGGCCGGGAGAAAACCTATTTCACGTTAAGCCGCGACTTTTACTGGCCAAGCCAGTATCAGTTTGTGCGCAAGTACATTCGCGCATGCGAAGTCTGCCAACGAGTGAAGTCAAGTCCTTCACTGCGTGCACCTTTACAGACTCTACCGGTTCCGGCTGAGTGCTGGGAATCCATCTCAATGGATTTCGTCTTCGGGTTACCCAAAGACGCACGCGGGAATACGGGTATTCTCGTATTTGTTGACAGATTCAGCAAAATGGTACACCTTGTGGCTTTACCAGAGACAATCACAGCAAGTGGCTGTGCTTGTGTCTTTATTGACACCATCTTCCGACTTCATGGGTTGCCCCGTGAACTCGTATCAGACAGAGATCCACGATTCACAGCTGGTTTCTGGCGATCCGTGTTCAAATCACTCGGTACGCGCTTGAAGATGTCGACATCTGATCATCCAGAGTCAGATGGTCAGACGGAACGTGCCAATCGTGTCCTCGAAGAGATACTTCGAGGATACGTACACTCCTTCAAGAGTTGGAGTGCGTTCTTGCCAATGGTAGAGTTTGCCATTAACAACTCGGTGCATGCGTCCACGACACATACATCGTTTTACGTGAATGGCTTACGCCATCCGCGAGTACCCACCTTACTAGAGTGTGACTCTGGTTTAAGGGGGGAGGGACTCGCGCGAGCAAAAACCGATTTGGTTCACGCTCATCACGCTCTGACGAAGAGGTCATTGCGTTTGATGCCGATATCGATAACATCGATATCGAAGAAGATGATGCCAGTGAGAGTGCGGAAGCCCTCACTGAAGAAAAGGTTGATGTTGCTGCAGTGCACTCACAGCGCACTGAAGCTAACGAGTCAGCAGATGAGTTCATACTGGCTCGTGAAACGGTAGTCCGTTTTGTGCAAGACTCCATCGCCGAAGCGGTGGATAAGCAAAAGCAAAACGCTGACAAGAATGTAAGGGCAAACACTCTTTTATTCAATAAGGGTGACTTAGTCCTACTGTCTACGGTTAATCTACCAAAACATGTAGTGACTAACTTGGGTAGCAGTAAACTACTACCCAAGTACATCGGTCCATTTCGTGTATTGCACCGCCTAGGCAACGCATACACGATCGAACTGCCACGTAAGATGCGAACGCATCCCACGTTTTACGTTGGTCGGCTTAAGCCGTACCATGAGTACGCTATTTCTTCCGATGAAGAACTCCCTTGCGCTCAAGCATATCACAGAGGGCCTCGTGCTCCCGATGGTGGATATCGACAAGGGTCTGAAGAGCAGCTATCTCAGCCCGAGACCGATCAAGAATCCACGAGCTACCCTTAGCTCGTCACGCAGAGATGCCAAAGCTCTCTCGTTCTCTAGCTGAGCAAAAGCATACTCAGCTCGACGCTTCAAGACAGTGTCCGCCAGTTGGAGACGTCTGTCCCGCTCATGTTCGAGATCGCCGCGTAACCCTTGCGTTACGCGATCAAAGAAGCTTTCGGGAACACACGCTTCCCCATGATTGTGTGGAGAGCGTCTTTCCTCCTCCTCCACCTCCATTAGAGGACTCTCGTGGTGGCCAGCGCTATCTGGTTGAGCAGCTGTTGAACCACCGCGACGTGAACGGACGTCGGACGAGTTATCTCGTCCGGTGGCGCGGCTATCCCCCGTCCTGGGATTCTTGGGAGCCCCGCTCCCAACTGATGGTTGACGTACTGGGTCTGGTTGAGCAGTACTACGCGGCACATCCTGTGCCGCAGAAGGACCGCCGGAGAAAGTCTTCCCGGCACGGTCGTAAAGGGATTTCAGGTTGTCAATCCCCTTCGTACATCTCAGTAGAGATACGTACGCGCCACCACGGGCTAGTAAGAAGGTAAGCCTCCTTAGGTGCTCGTGCAGAGTTGTTCACACAACATGGGCACGAGTCTCCCCAAGAGAGGCAGGGTAATCCTTTCTCCCTTGAAAGACGATGCAGCTTGTAGCGTGCACCTGTCGGGGTTCGCTTTTCAAACTTATCACGAGCTTTGATAAGTTTGTCGTTCCAAGCGTCACGACCTACATCCTCGAGGTTATGGATGTAGGCGTTCCACGCTTGAAGCAGTGAGGGACCATCACGTTTGTGATTCCCACTGTATCATCGATGTTTGAAGAAAGCATCGATGAAGAATTCATGTTCAGCGCGATAGTCTTTCGCGCTGGGGTCAAGGTGATGGATCCTTGACGAATCGAACAACCGTGTTCGATAACGATCACTCGTCGTCGCCGACAAGTGATCCATGACGGATTTAGGAGGCATCCATGCCTTCTTTTCAGGAGCGAGACGCAACACATTGCGGTCCCGCTCTTCCTGCGACGTGCCGACATAAGTACTGGCACCTCGCTGTGAAGTGGTGTCAATAGGAGAACCGACACCACTGTTAGCGCCCGAGTCTCGCGACCTCGAGCGCCTTCGCTTCGGCGGTGGTTCATCTGATTCATCAGATGAACCAAAGATGCTACGATGCATAGCATCATCCATGCCACGCTTGGCCGGCGGCTTAGATTCGATCGCCGCCGATACGGATCCGTCTTCCGTATCAGGAGAGTATGAGACACCGATCTCATACATTGTGAAGACATGAGTGTCTTCATGACTAGCGCCTGTATCACCAAGTGACACAGGCTGAGTCACTTCAGCAACCGATGAGACATCAGTTGCTGTGGTTTCTGCTTCGGCGTCCGCACAGAGACGTGCGGACGCGCTCTCGGCGGCCTTGCTCGCGCATCGCATGGGCTTGTTAACCATGCGATGAATTGTTGGAAAGTGGACTCGGACCAACAAGTGCAAACCCTGTCCAAAATGATTTGGGACGAGTATCCATTTAGTCAATCAGTCACTAAAGTGACTGATGGTTAAGGGGGGGTGATGTAACGGGGTCAATCGTTACATAACAATTTATAAGAAATTGTTAATAGAATATAACTATAAGAGTTATATTCTCAGAATATTATCATAAGGACAAATATTCTGTAGCACTTACGAGTAGTTCCTAATTGGTTGATATAGGCCATTATATCAACCAACGAAGACACGCCACGACAGACGCACGCAATGAGTGGTGAGCAGTTAGTTGATATACACATTTGCACTTAGACATAGTTAGATGAAGATAAATAGTGATTTATTGCAGACATTAACTATTATAAATACAGTTCTACTTTCTACTTTAACCAAGTACTCGCTTCTTCTTTACTGTCTTCCTCTGCACGTACGAGTGTACGTGAAGTTACGAGGCACCGCCTTATTCTGTCATCAGAATAAGTAGCTTGTACTGTCACCAGTAAAAGCTTCAGGGTGCCCCGTTACACGGATCACGAACAAACAGTAACGATCCCCTGGTTCTTGTTACTGTGGACGAATTCTCAAGAAGAGTGCTGCATTAGGACCCATTTGAGCGATACATGCAATGTTCTCGGACCGCGAAGGCAGATCGATCTTAGGTTGCAAAATCGACATACCCATGGTATGGTCTCATCGATAGCTGATAAAGGCTTGGCAGCGGAGGCGTGGGTCCTGCTCATCATAGGCGGGGCCTATTATAATGATTTATTTTCCTTTAGCACGTAAGATTTTCCATCAAGATCAAACACCTGCACTAATTTATCACCGGCGCCTGAAACGGGGTCAGCCGATCACATTAATATTGGTATCGTTTAACAGAGGGGTAACGTATTTGTCGCTTCCGGGTCATTGCATCACGAATTGTCTGGCTCGTCAAAATATGACATCTCAATCTAATTCCGGTATTTCTATCTAATTCTGATGTCCCCCTCAATTTTTGAAATGTCGAATCTATTTCTGATCTTGTTTCAAAAAGACTTCCCTGTGCTATCTTCACGTTTCTGTGGGGTCATAAAAAATTCCACAGAAGAGAGTATTCTAAGTCCGAATAGATTAACGATAATTAAGAGAGACAACAAGGAGTCTTCCTCTCCAGCAAATAATGCTGCATACTTTATTAGAGAGGAGAGCAAGCTTTGTACCTCGCCCTTTGGTACAAGTAATATAGTCCAAAGAACTCAATCAAGGTCTGTAGATTTATGTACCCATTCGAGCGGTTAGAAATAGGTGTGTGTTTGTTTGATCAATAAAGTGCTGGTGGGTTGTGTATTTAAGCTGATCGTTGCTTTGTTAATTTCTACACGGACGAATAAAGAGAACGGGGAAAATCCTTCTCGGTAACGTTGTAAAAAAACAAAAGGCGGCCTGTGTCATGAATTTGTATACATTAAAGATAGATATGGAAGAAGCTTTCACTGCCGCCGAAATAAAAACGTGACCATAATTGCTTATGTTTTCACGTTGTTTGGATCAAAACTACTTCGCATTTACTGTTTGCGAAAATAAAAAAAATACTTATGCTGCCATTGGATGTCTGAGCTTTGCTTAAAGTCTCTCTGTCCGCCATTCATTACCAATCTTGTGTGGGCTATGGTGCGTTCCGACTTTCACACACAATGCGGTCATAATTCGTGATCTACCCAAAGGTTGACATCTATAATGCATGTCTTCGTGTGAGAGGGAAATAGGATTATCGCACTTAGTACGAAGTGTAAGGTTTACCTAGCGTTTTTGCACACAGACAGAAGACTGCCAAACATAATGAATGATTTAAAAGCTCGGTGTTCACCTTTGCACCCAGTCACTGATAGCGCCTCCCATTGGGTTTGCAATATGAAAAGGAGCAAGCGTTGGATCTCGCTCCTTGATATGTGTAAGTCGGGTGAAGGGACTGAATAAAACCCAGTATGATCACGTACCTTATGTAGTTGTTGGTTATGGTTCTTCTCTGTCTGTTGATTGGTTGTGAGCCCGTAAGGTTATGTCATTAGTGATTTTGCGCAAGGTGGATACCAAAATTTTCAATCTAATGTCTTTCTCTATGTCCATGAAGCTAGGCGTACCTTACAAGTCGTACCATATGCGATATAGTATTTACGCCAAATGTGTGTTCAGACGCATTATAAGTGTTAATCTTTATGCAGATCATGTATTGAGACCGCGTGGGTGCTATCACACACAAGCACCAAAGTCCGCACTTGGTTGGCTCAAAACGGCAAAGGAAATAAAAATCAAATGGTGGGCACTCAAGGGCAGCAAAAGTCCGCACCTCGAGAAAAAGATAAATGTTAAATGTACTTGACCTGTAGTACTTCATCGATGAAAAGTGAGAATTGCTGGCCGCCAACGTCTTAGTGGCTGTGGAAGCTCCCTCAATTTATATATTTTTCCTTAGTTATACGTCGTCGACCGCACCTGACTGATAAAGCGTTACCGAGCAGGTTCATCTACCGTCTATCGGATAGCATTGTCTTCTCTCTATATATCATAGACAAATAGATACCTCTAAGAAACTCAGATCCTCAGTAATATCCTAAACTAACACATAGTATAATCTACTTTCTAGCCTCCAATCACACTAATTGGGCACGTGATTATATTGAACTTGTTTCGGTTTTCCTAACTTAATTCATCATACCCAGATGGGGTCTCCGGACCTTGCATTCCTATCTGATAAATGCTGATGAATTGTTGTGTGTGTGTAGCTGAATCGTTGATGATGTAAGTGAGCGCTTTAAAGCTGCCACGCACCACTATTACAACCAACCTCAAGTACCTGCAAGGAAGAGATTTTTACCGTCTTCTCTCGCGTGCAGCAAGATTCGGGTGGGCGTTTTACGACTGTCTCACCGATCTATGAACGCTTGTTGTTATGTGTGGCTCGGACGCGGTTTCCCGTCCTCCGGCAGACACGTTAAACAGGTTGCAAATAAAGGGCTGATTTCTATAACTAATTAAACAGCAATCTAAGTGTATATTGACTAAAAGACAGTAGATTAGACGCGCGCTGGTGAGACGCGGTCTCTATAGCGCGCTTAAACTGAATATAAGCGCTTTGAGTACGTACTTCAAAGCCTCCATGTAATGACGTCAAATAGTGATGTCGACTGCGTGTGTGTAAGACACACTTTGTTGTACATACGCAATTAGTGTACCCCAAAAATTAAGGTACGTTTCCGTGCCTTTACAAGAAAAGCCTCATTTTTAAACGGTTCAAGTCCGTTACTCCACCCCTGTTTAAAAACGTTGTTCGCATTCTGTGAAAATTTTAGCGAAGGACGAGCATTGGACAGTGAGCCGTAAAAGACGTGCCACTTTTTATCTGTGCTTGCTCGTCTGACTTGCCTGTGATTATGCTGTTCTCTGATCGACACAGCACAGCGTTCATATTCTATTAAATCGTGGTTAGGACGGTGATTCGCCTTCTAGGAAGCTCACATCTTCTACCGCTGAGCGTGTGCATCTAGATGAAACGAATCCAGTACAAAAAATACCAGAGTCACGAGGCCATCTGCTAGTACAGCAATCGCGTCATTGATAGATTCTTCTTACACACCTGATGCGGAGGATCCTAAATTGACGATAGGCTTAAAGGAGTCTAATCTTTTGCCTTCATTAATTGATAATGCAGACAGTGGACAGTGAGCGCATGTGGCACGAGAATTTGGATCGTTTGATTTCATTACCGATGCACAGACCGCTCCTGTAAACAACTGTAGTGATATTGCGGTCCCATAACAGTCCACAAACAAGAAAGTTGTTGATTTTTAGTGGTGTTCGAACGTCAGGTTGTCCACAGGGGGGGTCCGACTCCGACGAACTACATCATATACCTCCCGCAAGAATACTGAACCTCGGTCTATTTGTGTCACAATCGCTTCAATTTGAAGGCCTCCATCCACCTCAAAACATCCCATTGATGCCTCCTCCAAACAAAATGTTGAGCGGCGGATGGCTCTGTGTGTGCAACTATTGATGCAAATGAGTATTATAACGTCTTCTGTAGGTAGAAGGAAGAAGAAAAGAAGCTAGCCCGTATCTTTCCAATTTCCGTCGTGATGTTTACCAACAAAACGACCGTTTAATATAAAGATTAATTCCTGCGGCCACACCCAAAGGCGACAATGCAGAGGTCGCATCAAATTAATTTTTCTCTTAATCGTGCGCGTAATATATTTCATGGCATCATTGTTGTACAGAAAATGCCTCGGCACGACGTTCCAGAAAAGCGTTCTGTAGCTCAGCCGGTATGGTATGGCAGTACCATGCGAAAGGTCACTGGTTCGATACCAGTGGGGGCATTTAAAAAAATCCAAGCCTTCTGGACCTGGTGTTCGGGATCCACCAGCACGGTTCTGCCAGACAGTAACGTCCCCCACTTTCGGTTCATTTAAGTGATTAAAAACGCACGAAAAGAATTAAAAGTGTACGCCTGGACGATTGGTAATGTTCGATGTGTCGATTAGTAATGCGCGACTATACGATTAGGAACGTGTAGTCGAAGAATCCAATCGGCTTAGAGTAGCAACTGGGTTTGTGAACTAAGGACCTAAATATATTTACTTTGCAATTTACCGTCTAGTGCTCAACTGCCTTTTTAACGATCATATCCCCAGCTTCTTTAAGCTACGCTACTCCCGCTAGTCCATTGGAACTTAGCGGAGCGGGCGCAACTTGTGTGCCTGCTCGTAAGCTGAAACTGGCAGCGGCACGTTGACACGCAAAGCGCCATACGGACTCACAAGTTTTAAAGTTGTAGGATGTGACCTTTTCATCGGACAAGAGATTACAGCTTTTGCTTCCTCGACGGTAGGAAATCGACCCTCCCACAAGAAAGCGTTGGTTACCTCCAGCGTCCACAAGTGACGGTAGCGTTCGATACGAACAAT